TTTTTTTTTTACATTTATTTAAATATTGTATTAATTAGCTTTGTTTGCGGTTAGGGAGCAAGAGCAAACCACAGTGGAAGATCGCAGCCAGCAAGATCGAGTCGAATTAATGAAGAGGTCTCTCAAGCCTAGATATGACTCAGTAAGTCTAAAATAGTAGAAATTGACTATGGCCAAAGTTTTTTTCCCCTTTTTTTACCAACCATAAATAATACTGATAAACTATTCGCCTTAAAAGGGGTGAATACTTTTTCTTTATTTTGCTTTTTAAATGAAATTTTTGGGGTTTAAAGTCTGAAAATTAGACTATAAGTAAAACGATTTTAAACGACAAGAAATAATTATGAAAAAAGTTAAATTATAAGGTAATAATTATTTTAATGTTATAATTATTTAGGTATATTATACTTACTTGTGTCCTGAAAAATATACGATTTTCAAAAATGTTAAAAATAAATAACTGTAGTGAAAAATTTGTAAATTTATTGATTTTTTTTATATTATTGTGTATTTTATGCTTTTTTCGAAAAATGAAGGATATGCATCGAAAGTAATAATATTACATTTATACACTTTTCGTTTGGTTATATTTTATACACGATATCCATCAGAATCAAACTTGAATTACGGCACATACTATATAAATTGAATTTATAAATATAGTAAATCCACGAGGACTGTAAAAAATATTTTTAACTAAACAAAAAAATAATAACTAATTAAAAAAGAGAAATATTTCCAAAAAAAACCATAATTGTTTAAAACAAAATCCAAATACTTTAACGATACATCATTGTTTTTTTCCGTAATACATGTTTTTAAGTAAAAACAATAATAATTATAAACCGACTGCCGTGGTTTATGACATAGACCATTATTAAATTTATTTAGAAAGTATTACAGTAATATTATTCACCCTTGATGTTTCCGGGATATAGCCCTTACCTACTGTAAGAAGAACATTAATTATTCGGGTCTTTCTTAGAAAAAAAAAAAATTATAATAATAATACAATCTGACCTACATTCTTAACTCGTTTTAATAGACGTACTTATTGTGTTTGTGTAAAATATTATGTGTTACGTCTAGTCTTCTTGCACGTTACCCACTTTCATGGCGTACAATTCTATCTATACACAATAATAACATTACAAACAATATAGCCATTGTAACACACCGAATAGAATACATATTACCAGAGCTGTGTTATTCAATGGGTTAGGCTATAGGTACCCTCTTGGTCCGATAACCGAGCCTCGGAAGCCGCTCATTGGCAAATTCTCAAGAATCACCGGAAACCCAATGCTACGCCCGTTTCCAAGGAGTTGCTCAAGTACAAACAAGAACTAGGCGCCGCGCCGACAGGTGAACAGGAGGATTATAACAGATTTTTGTATTTATTTGCCTAATGATAAATCGGACAGTTCTTCGACAATTCCCGTTGTAAATAAGTAACACAAAAACAGTAATAACACAAACATTTATTTTAGGTAACAATTTTAAAACTACAATGTATAATTATTTACTAATAAATTGTTTTGAGTTGTTATGCATGACGTTATGAATCTCTACAGCGAAATATATATATATTTATTTATTTATATATATATATATAGACGGGACTGGCCCAATTCCAAAGACTTAAACAATTTCCTTAAACAATGAAATGCTGTCTTATCTTTAGCCGCTTCCGTTAATGGTGTCTGCAGATACCCATTAGCCAGGTCCAACGTTGCGAACACTTCTCCCTCGGCACTGTGCACTTAATTGAGTATCAATATCCGCCATGGGGTATGGTTCCCCTTTGGTTTGCTTTGTTAAGGCGCCTGTAGTCAATACACACCCATCTTTTTTTCCAACTAATAGTACTGGACTAGCATAAGGTGAGTTTGAGTCACTCACTATTCCGTGTTGTCGCCACTCTTCCAAAATTGTCATTATTTCCTGTCGCTCACTCGGTGAAACTTTGTACGGACGACATACCACAGGCTCGCTGTGTTCTACCTCGTATATGTCCATTCTTGCAACACGAGCGCAACCTAGTTGGACCAAACTCTTAGCAAATGTACCTCGGTATTCATTTAACAGTCCAAGTAGCTGCTGTCGTTTTGCCTCGGTGACATTATCTCCAATAACAATGTCTTGCTCACTCAACGGCTCCCTCTGTAGCACGCGTACGCCTGGGTCAACTGCTCGGGTACACTGTTCTCGATCACCGGAGGTCCCCCTCAACAGTAAACTGGCGTGTAGGCCAAGTGTCCACCAGACAAGCGCGCACAGATGAACTGTCATCCTTGTCCTCGTTCGGCATTTGTTCCGAGTCACTTGTGTCGTTGGTCAGTGGCTCTGTAACAAATTCATTTTCCATTTTAAAATAATTTACCTGGGGCAGATCAAGCCAAGTTCGGCCAACAAGGACATCGTTTGGAATATACTTATCTGGTACTACAAGTAAGGTGTGGTCATGGCCAACAACGCCATTAATCGCAACCGAACCCGTTCCTACCCCAACTGCGGCGGCACCAGGCTGTTCCATGTCTCCCACAACATACAACGGCTGAACAGATGGTGTTATCGACAATCCACAGCCAATCGCAGCGCTCGCCCGGACCAAACAACCGGAACGCCCAGTATCCACTAGACCGTTGAACTGCGTACCGTTGACAACCGCATCCTTGACATAAGCCTTACACAGGCACTAACTAACTTATATAGTTTAACAGACAACAGTAAGCCCTCTCCCCCCCCCCTATATTATGTGTAACAGTGTATTTTAACGTTACAGTAGTAGCAATAGTTAATGTCGTGAAACCACTGCCAACTTCAAAACTTCACCCATTCCAGCCGACAAGTCTGGGGCGAAAATGGATAAAGTACACGAAAAGACTGTGGAAGAAAATTACCAAATAAGAATTTTACTAAAATAAAAAAAACAATCGGTTCGGGGGGGGGGGGGCTAAATCACACATTGCGGGGGCTAATGCCGCTTTAGCCCACCCCTAAGTCCGCCTATGCTTAAGGCATGTATACATACGGTACGCCTACTCATAGTAGTATTTTTACTTGGCCATACTTACATTTTATTCGTCACAGCCGAAAAACCAATCAAGGCCTTCGTAAGCTGCCGCAAAGAAGCCGCTCATGATAGCGGCCTTTGTCCCGACGCCGTCTTCCGCGCCTAATACGCCACCTGCTATAGAAGCACCTATGATGAAATTCCAGGCGTCGTCTTTCTTTCTAATCTTCATTAATCCGTGTTCTGCCAGCATAGCCAGACATGAATATTTTGCCACGAATTTACCCAATCTGGCAGTCCAACAAATATCGTCCTAGAAATTAAATTACAATTAAAAAAGTGTGACTGTATATTAATGTTACAGTACAATTAAGGGACCCTAGCCGGGACAGGAAACTACCCTGTATCTGCCCGAAAATATCCCTAGAGACCCTAGGACCCCTGGTCCGTGGGAATCCGGAGTTAGAACAGGTGGAGTGACACGCACAAAAAATATAAATAAGATGCCAAATAATTAAGTAATTATAAAATACGATCATACGTCATATATTTCTATTTGCATTATGCGCCCAGACCAGGGTGCTGTCCGACATATTAGACACTGGTAGACTGTGTTACTGAATTATACTTTAACGAGAACAGATTATCGTAGGATAGCGTTAAAACACCAGTGTTTACTCTCTACTAATAATAATAATTGTATTTTTACTTACAAACAATCTGCTCGTGACAGCGGACAGTTCTTCGACAATTCCCATTGTAAATAAGTCACACAAAAACAGTAATAACGCAAAAATGAATTCAGGTAACAATTACAAAAATACAATGTATAATTATTTACTAATAAACTGTTTTGAGTTGTTATGCATGACCAATAGTGGCCAGTTTTTAATATAAATTCCACAACCATGTCATATATTCGTCACTCATTCGTACAATGTGCTTCTGGAGTCTAAGGAGAGAAGGAGGAAACTTCCTGACCTAGATCTATATAAGAATCAAGAATTTATACAAAACATTTTTTCCGTTGATTCAAATTTGTAATTTATCATATGTAATACATTTTAATGTAACTTTTTTAAAATACAGATACTTAAATACATATATACTAGGTTCTAATTATTTTATAAAGGTTTTATTATTAAAAAAATCGGTAATGTTGATATACCTATGTCTCAGTAGAGTTCAGCAAATAATCTTAAATAAATCTTGTTGAGACATAAGAGTTGATTTCCCCTTTATATTCTTCTGGTAGACAATTTTATTGAAGTGCCACCCAGTGAAAAATACTTAAAATATGCTCTGGTATACAGGTAATTTAAAATTAAAAGGGCGTTTTATAGAATAAAAAAGGTTAATACGAGGTTTTTAATGCTATATTATTTATTGCTTCCAAAAGGTCACTGATGAGTGATGGCTGATAAAGTAAATAATGTTTTTTAGCAACAATATTTTAAATCCAAACCAAACAGGAACTCAAGAAAAGTGTATAGATTTAGATATCCTGGCTGGCAAGCCATGTTGCCATTGGATTGGCTTAAAAACAATTTATATAAGATCAATTCGGGTACAAAAACTAATCCTACGTATTTTAAATTGAAAGCCATGTTGTTTTCAAATAATTTTTCAACACATTATTGTGCGCTGAATTTCAAATTTGTAAAATTGTTGTTGTGGTTGTGTATTGATTTAGAGAAGTGTATTGTGTGGGCTGTTACTCATAGATATGTTATTCACATCGTCCCGAAACTAAAAAAATAAGACAGTATGAAAAATATTTGTGTTGTTTTATTATTTAAATTACATATTGCTACCACGAAGAAAAATGGTAAACACCTATCAAGTATGAATATACTAATATAAAAAATTATATTAGTATACTTATATTAATATTTTTTTTAACGATAAATTGTCATACTCAAACAGCTATGTAAATTCACATAAGCTAACCTGCCAAAGTTTTCTGCATTATACGACATGACAATCGTTGTGTAAAACCAAAAACTAAAAAGCACATAAGTTTTTAAACTCCGTGTTAAAATTCAGTACATCGTTAAGTAAGCCGCACTATCAAATTTCGAAAGTTGTGAGTATGCTTTTCTCTATCCGAAATGGTAAAATGTTAAAATACTTTAATTAAAAATTTTCAAAATATCGAAAAATGTAGCAAAATATGTACCTAAAAAACTAGGAAAATAATAATTCTCAAAATATTCATATTTTCAGAGAAAATTAGTGTCTTGCGTTAGTTGGATCATCCTGTTTTTTTTTTTTATGAAAAAAGAACAGCGTTTCGCGTTTCTTTATTAATTATAGTGATTTAGTAATATAATTGCAACTTTTTTTTTAGAATAATTGAAATTATTCAGTTTACGTGATTATACACACCGTCATACAATGAAGTTCAATGGATTGCGTCTTTTATCTATGTTGCTAGTCAGTTCTTTGAGTGTCGTTTCGGGACACGAATGTCTTAATTTAGAACCTATGAAAAATTTCCAAATGGAAAAGGTGAGTTCAAGTTATGCATTTGATACTTGACACGATACATTATAACAAAACAAAACAATTATGTACCACATATATTTATAAGCCGTAATTATCATTGGTTTATCTTCCAATAGCTTAACTGTATGCGTAATTACAGCTACTTTATTTAAACTTAAGCTTATAATTGTTTTATAAAAATATATAGAAAACTAATGTCGGTCATTTGTTTATATTTTTTCATTTCGCTTACTACCCACTCCCACCGTTAGTAGTTTCTATGTAATCGGGACTATTTACCAACCAGCTTAGTTACTCCAAAACTATAAATAAAATGTAAAAAATGTATGTCAATAGGCTGGTTCCACCAGATCTTTGAAACGCCAGACACAATTTTGAACTAAACTTGGTACACATGTGAATCGCGTTTTAGAAAATATAATTGGTAGAGGTGGGAGGTAGGAGGGGGTGGTAAATAACTCTTACCAACTTTTTGTAGTCAGGGCGGAAAAGATTAGACATACAAAATGATTGAAAACCAAATCATTCTTACTTATTTATAACACACTGACATAATAATAAGCTGACATTTCATAAAAAAAAAAAACAACAGAATAAAAATATCGTTTTAATTAATTCCTGTGTACTAAACCGTCGCTTTTTCTATAGTTTTTAGGACAATGGTACGTCATTAAAACGACGATGCCAAATACTCGATGTTTAGTGTATGATCTTCAAACGCAGAAAATCGAAAATTTGACAGATTATGTAGCTAAGTACAGTTCCAGTTGCCTTATATTTGGAGTATTGGATACCCATACAACGTTACCATCGCAAATGACTTATTTTAATCTTTTTTTAGATTATTCAAGTACGTGATGATTTGACAGATTGTTTATGAATATTTTTGTTAATTCGTCCATCGTGTTACACTGGATATACCAACCGTTCCTTGTTATTATTAAAAAATTAATAATTTAAGTGTTTATAGATAATTTCGCTCACCGATAGTAAACCAATTTACATTACGCGGATACCTAATTGGTCATTTTTATTATTATATACTTAGCTAATCCTGAAGAGAAAACGTCTTTTGTTGTGTTCGACACGAACTATGAATCCTATGCGGGTGTATACGTATGCTCAAAAACGCCCACTGGCTTCACACATTATATAGCCATTGTGTCCAGATCATCAGTGGACTTTGACAAAGAAAACATAAATAAAGTAAATACAAAATATCTATTGCTTCGATTTATTGATACTTATTGTTTTGTAATAAAAAGAAAAATTAATTAATTCAATCTGATTTTTTGCAATTAAAAAAATGCATTGTTTTGATCTTTAATTTACAGTTGCTCGTACGTTTACATGATGGTCATATTTCACCAGCTGATTTCAGACTCAATCACGTTGACCACAGGGAATGTAACTATGAACATGTTAATGAGAACAGTAATGATGAAAATGTCATTAACGAAGATGGGAAAGTTTACGTTACTATCAAATGGATATATCACGCAATCCCTTTACCGAATCCTTAAGCATGCGTTAAAATCGATTAAATACTAATAAATTCTAAAGTTCCATAGCATGACAACGTACAGCTAACCCATTACAATTATAATGTCCAATGTAATCTATTCAATTTCTTATCAAAAAACCCTAGAACATTGTTTATAAATACTATTAAATTCAGAATTAGTGATAGTAACTTATCTACAAAAATGTTTAATTGGAGTTCTTTAGCTTAATATAAATATATTTTGGTTATGCGTTGTAAAAAAAAATTAAACTGTACCAGATTATATTAAAAAGTAAAAAAAATTATAAATAATTGTAAATTTCTGAGAAGTTTTTGTTATTAATTTAATTAAATACTTAAAAATAGATAATATTGCCCTATGCTCCGTCACCAATTACTACTGTAATCCGACCCATTTGGGCTGGTTTTTGTTTTATAATTATGGTACACTCAAGTATTCATAAAACTATATAATAACGATAGTTTTAGTACAATGAACACATTTTTCTTTAGGGATTTCATCAATATTATTTTTATTTAGGTTACATTACATAAAAGTACGTTATGGTTACTAATAGTGGAATCAAACGACTAGGTGCGACATGCGATTTGAAATTTACACTTCATTAGTGTATTTATTTATTTATTGAAATGTACATTGTGTAGACATCAAATATAATATAATTTAACAAAATAATTAATTAATACAAACCATAATTAAAGGCGTTAAAATGAATACAGAAAAAAAAGATATGGAGATATAAGGTTATTAGAACGCATTGAAAAAACTTATGAAATTTAGTCTAAACAAAATTAATAAATAATAGAAACTTTCACCTGGATTAATATATTTAGTAATTAGTGAATAGGTAGTGATTGCGATGACAACAATATCAAACTAAGGAGTGTTAACATTTGAGAATACTTGTCAAAGTTATGTAAACTAGAACGTTTTAATATTTAATTTGATCGCCTAAAAATTAGTGCCTTTAGGTCGACGTAATTGTCATTCCAGCTTATTTTAGTCACTTCGACGATTGCTGGCTAACCTCGCTGTATACAGTATACCTACGATAATTGTAAAATCGGTTACTAATTATTCTAGTTTATTCTAATTTCTAAATCTTATTAATTGCCTCTGTATTATTTATTTTACCTCGTGTCTTTGTTTATCTTTGTAAAATTATGCATCGATCGCCGTATATTATTGTATTTATTGTATACCTTATTGAGTTTATACCCTTTAAATAAAAATAAATAAATTTCTACTTATTCTAAGAGTTATAACAAAAAATGGTTATAATATTTCACAATAAAATATGTATACATGATTCTGTGGAAGTCAGGAATAATAAATTAACTTATATATTTAACAGTCTTGGTCTAATATCCCCGTTCTTTTTTTAAAAGAAAAGAATATTATTTTTGTATTTTTTATTTCAAAAAACGATCTAACTTTTAGTGCGAAATCAATGAAAAGTGATTTTATGAAACGATTGTCAATTTTTTGTTGTGATTAATATAAAATTATTAGCATTGTTTTAAAAATGAAAAAGATGTCCTCTCTTAACGTTAAATAAATAATACTGCTTTGTATTTATTTTAAAAATTTTAAATATTTGTCCGTGTTACTTTTTTTTTCGTTTGTATATTCTAGGTGTGAATTATGAAAACACATTTTGTTTTTTTCATGTTAGATTACGCTTAGTTCTGAAGGTACAAGTTTTAAAGTAAGATATTCTTCTTCTTGGCTTTATGACTCTCCAAGAGTCTTCGCCGCCACCGTCAAAGCGTTCCATCTTTCCCTATCCTGGATTATATCCTTCCAATCTTCTACGTCCAGTGTTCTTAAATCCTGACTTACCCCGTCGAACCATCGCTTCCTTGGTCTACCCCCGGTCTTTTCCCACTTGGTTGGTACTCTATGGCTGTCCGAACCATTGCAAAGTAAGATATTCTACTCTTTAAGTATTAATAAATTACATTAGTTTCCTAAAGATATATTTTTATACAACAATTATAGGCTCAAGTTGAAAAAGGTAGCTATATTTGCAAATACAATAAAGCTTTTTGCGGCTTAAACGACGATAAAATATGGTTTACGAATAAATAAAAATTAAAAGTAAAGACCGAAATTAGTGTCCTAACATAAGCTTAACCAATAACTATCATATAAATACTATCATATTTGTTTAAGAATATCCAAATATGCTACTCAATTGTTTTATTTTGTTATAATATACCCTATCAAGTGTCCAATGCATTACTTGAACTTACATATTCCATTTTGAAACCAGACATAGGTTTTAAATTAAGACATTCATGTCCCGAAACGACTCTCAAAGAACTAACTAGCAAAACGGATAAAAGTCGCAAGCCATTGAACTTCATTGTATGACAGTGTATTCTTCTTCTTCGTAGTTGACGGCCTTTAAGACCAAACTAACAAACATATGCCATGCCATCTCTCTCTATCCTCCGCTAGGACTCGCCAATCAGCATCCGGTTCAACCCGCTCCACATCTTTTGACACCCGGTCTTCCCACCTCAACCTTGGTCTACCAAGTGGTCTTACGCCTTCTGGAGAGCCACATAGAACCTTGTGTATAAGGGCTCTTTCTTTTCGCCATGCGTGGCCAGCCCAAAAGAGCCGCCTCTTTCTTATATCGTCGACTATGTTTGGTTTCTGATATAGCTCCCTGATCTCCACATTATGTCTGATTCTCCACTCTCCTGTATTCCTATCTATGCAAGGGCCAAAAATCGACCTCAACACTTTTCGTTCAAATACTAAGAGGTTATTCTGTTGTATCTTATGATGGTGATTCTAAGGTCTCTTTCCGTGGCAAGAGCTACTAGTCTACATCCATTGTCATTCGATACTTCGTGTAAGCTATGAATACCTATTATAGGTCTAAAGTAATTTTCTTTCCCAATTTTCGCGTTGAAATCTCCTAGAGTAATTTGTATGCAATTTGTCGGTATGTCATTCAAGACATTATTAAGTAATGAGTAAAATTCATCTTTCTCTACTTCCTCCGTTGGAGCATGTACATTTACAAATGCTATATTGAACCATCTGGCTGCTATCGTCAGCACAGTGATTCTAGGACTTATTACTTTAAAATCTTTAACCGAGTTGAGGTATGCTTTGTTTACAGCGAAACCGCTCCCTCCAAGTCTTCTATTGTCACATGCTCCATAAAAGAGTGTAGTATTTTTTAATTGCATTAACCCGGTGTCACTCCATCTTAATTCTTGTAGTGCAACAATCCCAAGTCTATACTTCTCCACCTCATCTACCAATGTTCTAAATGCGCCAGGTTTAAATAAAGTCCGTATATTCCAAGTACCAAAACGTAGAGCCGATTTCCAATTTTCCATTCTAGAGTCCTGTAATCCACTAATCCGAGGCATTGTGTTTGTGCCCTGAACAAAGTTGTGTTTTACTGTGACGGGTTGTTAGCCCGTCGCCAAACGCCCAACCCGGAGGACCAGACTGAGCCAACCAGTTAAGGCCAGCTCAGAGCTCGGGGCCCCGGGTTCGCCTAACCCGTAGTGCTAATTACTTAGCACCCCTCAGCTAGTTTTCATCATATTTGTATTTATAATATTAACAAAAAAATGTAGTCCTTTACGTTCAGACTTTCATAAAACCGTTTCCATACAGCCATAATAACACTTGCTCGATAATATCTATAATGCTCATTTCGTGATTTCTCTTCGCATTTTTACTACTACAGTCGTAGATCGTACAACATTACAGTGTTCTTCAAAATTTTAAACGAATATTTTAACGTAATGCCAAAAGTAGCCATTTTTTTCATAGCTATCATTATCTTGAAGATATCATTGGGTAATTTTTGCTCGTATTATTTTTCCACAGTATATAGATTCTCGCGAAGATTATTCGAAATTAACAATATACTACCTATAGTTATGACTTCAATATTTCTAATTAAATAACACATTATACTGATAGGAGTCGATTACTTGTATATTTTCCTCATAAACTTATGTATGCGAACAAGAATGTTATAAGAATATTAATATTGATATTTCATTTTCTTCTTTATGTTTAGTCGGCCAACGTAAACCTCGTCCAAAAACTTTGTGGTAAAAAGTAAGATACAACATACAATTTTACTTAAATTATTTCTATAGGTATATTTTTTTTTACATCCACAACTTTTGTACACTGATCAATATAATTATCGTGAAGTAATAATATAGGACTAGAAGTGGAATAACGGTACAATATACCACGTTACGGTTGGACGTAACCGGTCTGTCAATTAGGTAGGTATTGAATATAATATTTGTATTTGTATAGTAGGGTTTTTTGAAAGCAATCCCGAGTAAGGAATTTATAACGTTGTTATAAGTTTTTTTTAAATGCGCCTTTAAAAGCTCCTCTCCGAGCAGCAATTCCATAAGAGAAAACTGACTGAGCAATTGCACAATAAATCATTCTCATGGCGATGGTCAATAAAATATTGTTTAGAGTTTTGAAAATAATATAGAACATGCTCCGAACTTTTTTAATAGTAGACCCAATGAAAAAATGCACGATTTTTCCAGACACTCATACAATCTTATTTTTATACGTTTTTCCAATACTTTGAATAAAGTATAAGTCAGGGATATCATGCGGACACGAGAATTTTACTTATATATATATATATATATACAGGGCCCCCACAAGGGGGGAGGGGGGTCAGTGAGTACTAGGGGCCCGGGGAAAAAACAAAATATATACATATTATTGATTTAAATTAGAAAAATATAATGAGTCGTGCCACTCCAGTCACTATAATATCTTTATATAATATTGGCGGGTAGGACGTTCAGCGCAAGCATTTCTTGGAAAAAATAAAAGGGGAAACAATCCTGGACGATAAAAGAAATGAGTCAGCCGCCTGCCCTACTAGTGCTATTTTTGGCATAAGAAGATAATAATTTTTTTATCGACGACCAAAGTCACAACAACCCGCAATCATAGCATGCATATTAGTTTTTACCACAACCGTCAATCTCCCGAGTTGTGGCGGTAATTGTGGTACTGTCTACAGGTGTATAAAAGCAATATAAGCTCTGTAACAAATATTTTAGGTACCTTATGAAAAATAAAAAATAAAATGTTAGAAATTATATTAAAATTATTATAAATACTAATATATAATAAGGGCCCGGATTCGTTTACAGTACCTTACTTGAAAAATTCATGTGGGGGGCCTGCTCGTTGGGCAAGTGGCAACTATATTATCTTTAATCGTGAACTACAATTTGCAATAAAGATAAGAACCTAACTAAAGGCAATGTTTTTGATATTAAAATACGAAATTTCTCTTGGCGGGCTTTTGGTAAAATCGATGTTGGTACTATCTGTAGTATTACAGATTTTATAGGTTATGTAACATTTATTTCTTATCATGCGTTATCATTTTTTGGAAGAACTACCCCCAACTCGATTATTGATTATAATATTATCTAAAGGCCTCAAACGTTATCAAAATCACAATAACAATAATAATAATTATCATTTCAAAAGTAGTGAGTTTTGTCGTTTGTAGGTTAATGTCCATTCGTTCGATGATGTTTATATCTTATAAATTTAGTTTTGGCGGTTAACGTTAAACACATAATGGATCAAAGTCATCAAACCAATGCATTTGTGACAACAATGTTAATGCGTAAATATTTATTAGAAATCAAAATCTAAGTACAATAATATTTTAAACAAATCCCGACCAGGACAGTCGTTTTCGAACTGTTATTAATGAATAATATTGTGGAGTATTTACAACGTAAAAAATAATCATGTCTAAAGTAAGTGAAAAAGTAACTATTATCAAGTAAATTATTTCATCATACAAAATTTATTTTATTTTGAATATACATAATTCTGCGTTATTAATTATATTAACATACTAATTATATTATAGCAGCTGTTAAGTGGTGTGTAACGTGTTTACGAGCGGTCCTCGATTAATTTCTCGGACTGTAGCGTAATAAATAACTACCCACCTCTACCCTTGTATGCCCAAAACTTGTTAAGTAAACGGCAGTTGTTACTTTAACCAAACAACCCATTAACCTATTAATCGAGTTTGAAGAAATTGGCACAAAAACAATATACATTGTTATAAAACCTTCATAGTTTTTTTTTTTACCAAAAATACGGAATGTCCACTTATAATTTGTTAATCATAACTGAACCTATGTGCAATTGTTTAGTAGTATTATGAGAAATGCTAATTTGCTATACTTAATTTTTTATATAGGATATCAGGTCGTATTTTGGGACGGCAGCCGCTGTAAAAAAATCAAATATTAAAGAAAATACAAAAACTCAATCCGGTCAATCAAAGAAATCTAAAAAACGTCATGTTCTGTCAAGTGATGATGACGAAGATATAATACCCTGTACTCCAAAAAATGTTATAAAAACAGTTAAACCAAATGTTAAACTAGAAGATGTGTTTGGAAAAGAACCAGTCAAACAGAGTGCTTTGAAAGTAAAGCCGCCCAAAAAACAAGTAAGGAGTATCTTTAAATTACTTTTTAAAAATCAAAATTTTTAAAAATGTTTACTTGTTTAGATAAATTCTATCGAACAAGACATTGATATAGAATGGAGCGAAATAGATAACATTGAAAAGGAATTCTGTAATACCACTGATAAGTCTAAAAAATCTCCAGCAAAATTAAACGAGACAAACTCAAACTCTTCAGAAAAACTAAAAAACAAAACTTTACCAACCTCAAAATCTCCTAAAAAATTAAATAAAACTCCCATAAAATCTCCAGCACAATTTAAAACTACTCCTTTAAAATCACCTTCAGTAACTCAAACTCAACTCACACCAAACAAATTGAAATCTCCTTCAAGCTCGCCTAATGTTAAAAGAAAATTAATGGAATTTGATTCTAACAATGACAAACTGGTATCGCTACAGAAAACTAATCCTAGTAAAAACACTAGTAGTAAAACTAGCGAGAGTAGTCAAGCTGGTGTCAAAAGAAAAAGTTCACCTGTAACATCGCCTGAAATCAAAAAGTTTAAATCGGATGTAGTCTTGTCGTCTGACTCTCAGGTAAGATTCGTGTTTTAGAACAATAGAAATTGACCTAAGTAATTCATTTTTCATTTTAGGAAAGTGGATACGCAACAAGTGATTCGATAAAAGTTGATGATTCTAAGTGCTCTTCTCCTACACTTGTAACGTCTTTTGAATCAAAACTTTGGGTAGAAAAGTACAAACCAACCACATTAAAACAAATTATTGGTCAAACTGGAGAAAAGAGTAATGTTAACAAATTAGTCAATTGGTTAAAATCGTGGTACTCTAACCATGGAATTGGAGTTAATACAAAACTAACCAGACCTAGTGAGTTTTACAGAGTTAATTTATGGTATGGAAAGTAAAAACGGATCTAATAAAATAAAGTTCAAGCATTAGTACTAGAAATCATTAATAACTAATAATAATGTATATACTTAGAAGAATAATTATATTGTTTAAGGTCCTTGGGCAAAAGACGACAACGGAGCTTATTTCAAAGCTGCATTACTGTCTGGTTCTCCAGGTGTTGGTAAGTTGCGTTATTTTATTTTGTCACTATATATATTTTTAAAAAGAATAATAAGACCACAATAAAGTATAACTTATAAAATTATCTGTGCCAAAAAAATTATCAAATTTGTACAATACTTAATTTACAAACAAAGACATGAATTGTCAATTAAGAAATTTATGAATTTTTTATTTATTACCTTATGGACACGTGATATAGAATAATATTTATTTGACTTTATTTTGCTTTATAAAAGGCTAGTTAATTAAAACTTAGAACATCTCCAAACAATATGAAATTCAGTTAGGTAATGACTTACAGTTTGTCAACATTTATCAGTAGTATTATATATTATGTCTAAAGAATATTACACACAAATTTGGAACTAATAAAACTATTATTTAAAAAAAATGTATAAAGCATTTCATACACATTGCATGCTTTGTATGTGTACAGGTATAGTATACATGGTTAACTTTGATTTTGTCCTTGTGTATATATATATTTTTACTTTATAGCTTATATTCAATTTAATTTTACAGACATAAACCTAAGGACTTTATTTTCTCTAGTTGATCAAATTGATTAAAAATGTTTTTGTTTTAAAATTCCAGGTAAAACAACAACGGCTCATTTAGTTTGCAAGGAATTGGGTTTCGATTTTGTAGAATTCAATGCTTCTGATACGCGTTCCAAAAAACAGTTACAAAATCACGTGTCTGAACTTCTATCGTCCACTTCATTAAGCCCATTTTTGGGAGGAAAATCCGTGACTAAAAAACATGCGCTTTTGATGGACGAGGTTGACGGAATGGCAGGCAATGAAGATAGAGGTGGCGTGCAAGAATTAGTTTTGTTAATAAAAAATTCCAAGTGCCCAATCATATGTATGTGTAACGACCGAAATCATCCCAAAATACGTACGTTATCCAACTATTGTTTTGATTTACGATTTCATAAACCAAGGTTGGAACAAATTAAGGTAAGATAGACAAAACAGAACTATTACTACATTATCGGCTCAAACAATTAATTTTAATAATATCTACTTTTATTATATGTCCGTAGGCCGCTATGATGAGTGTTTGCTTTAAAGAAAATTTAAAAATTCCGCCAGATACATTATCATCTATTATCGCTAGTACAGATAATGATATTAGACTCACTCTTAATCATTTGTCAGTCGTTGCAGCTGGAAAAGATAATTTAAACATAAACAAGAAATACATTAAAATGGTATGAAAATAAAAAAAATAAGCATCATAATAATAAATAAGTATAATTTTTGGAAATATTCCTTTTAGGGTCCTTGGGACGTCGTAAGAAAAGTTTTTTCTGCTGAAGAACATAAAACAATGAATATTAATGACAAATGCGACTTGTTCTTTTATGATTATAACATTTCTCCATTATTTGTTCAAGAAAACTATTTGTCAGTCGTCCCTCATAACGTCGAGTAAAGTTGTTCAATTTGTTGTTTTTAAACAAACTTTTATGTATTTGTATTTCACGGATGTTTTTTTTACATTAGAGGGCCTAAGTGGAAAAAATTTGAACGTTATTCATTAGCGGCCGACTGTATTAGTTTGGGAGATATAGTAAATGCAAAAATTAGAACCACCAACAATTGGAGTTTGCTTCCAGCCCAAGTTAGTGTTTGAAATACAACAAATATTTCAAAACTTATTAATATTATTAACTATTATCAATCCAAACAGGCGATATTTTCTAGTTATTGCCCAGGTGAACACTTGAAAGGTCATATAAGTAAACAAATAAATTTCCCAGCGTGGCTTGGGAAATTTTCAAAAGGAAATAAAATGAACAGGCTTTTACAGGAAGTACAAATTCATTCTAGAATCAGGCAAGTGTAGCTAGTGATAAATAATAATTACTTAAAAACTAACGATAATAACACCGGTAATTGTTGATTTTCAGATTATCTGCAAGTAAAGAAGCGATAAACCTTGACTACCTTACGATGTTGAGAGACTCGATTGTTAAACCTCTCCAAGAAAAAGGAACCGACGGCGTTCAGCAATCTCTAGAGTTTATGCATTACTATCATCTTTTAAAAGAGGACTTTGAATCACTCGTCGAGTTATCTGCATGGCCTGGTCGTAAAGATCCAATGTCGGATATTCCGGCAAAAGTCAAAAGTGCTTTCACCAGAGCGTATAATAAATCATCGCCGGCTTTCAGTACTACAAAGAAAAAGAAGACATCAACTTTGGAAGATGCAGAAGCCTTATTAGAGGACGAGGAAGCTGGTGAAGATGTATTGAGTGATCAAGAAGATGACGACGATATCCAAAATGATAACTTGATCTCTGTAATTACAATTCTGCAAAAAACATAATAAATAATTTGTTCGAGTTTATGGTCTGATTAAATTATTTTTGATTTACAGGTAAAGAAAAAGACAGCTAAGAAAGCATCAACTCCACCGCCTTCAAAACCAAAAGCTCAAGGAAGTAGTAAAGGTCGGGGCGGTGGTGGTGGTAGAAAAAAGAAGTAAATATTGAGGTTAACATTTTTTCTTTTTTTAACATTATTGTATTCAAGCATAATATATTATTATTTTTTGTGGCTGAAACATTAAGCTGTATTTTTTAAAAGCTAGAAAATACAATAAATCATGTTTAATTTCAATATTATTATTTTTATTTCTCAATCTTAAAGTATCTTATATGATATTCATTAATGTAGTATTTTTATTAACTGTATAAAAATAAAATGTATAATATATATGTGTAATATATTTATTTTGTATGAAAATAAGTAATTCATAAGTTATTTACACTTATGAATTAGTGATGCAATGGAATTATTTTTTTGAGTTTCTGTGATTATAATACAAGTTCGTTTTTTCTGTATTTAACCCTGTTGCAACTTGAAAAAATCACTTCTTACCAGTTGTAAAGTTAAAATTACATTATTATGAAAATAAACGATCAAATAGTTATGAATTAGGTATGTTAAAATTATATGATCTATATATAAGGTTGCCTTTTAATTTATAACAATAATAATAAACAAATTGTGTTGATCTGTAACAAATATTTTATTATTTACATACATTAACAAAATAAGTATGCACACTAATAGTGTATATGAATTATACAATTATAGTTTACTTATAAACCAATTACATTTAAACATACAAGCGTAAAAAAAATTGTTGTAAGCGTTATCAATTGAATTACAAAATAAATAAAGAATAAAAAAATACAAATATTGCAATTTAATTGAATGAATAATGTACAAGTGTGAATTAGTACAATCTGAATATTGATCATGTCCAAGCATACAAAAATAATTTATTACTAAATCTATATACTTATGGAAAAAAAACATTGACTTCCATATCTGAATGTTTTTCAGATAATTTAAATATCAGTATTAAGTGAAAAACATTTATCACATTTTTAATTGTAGAATCTTATAGTGATGAATTAAAACCATTAGCTTCGAGCAGATATTTTTAGGCCTAAAAGTGTAAACATTTTAAATTAAAACAATGTCGTTACCTATTTGAGACGAGTAACACTACGTTTTTACCGAAAACGAATGCTCAACGGGTTGTTATACTGATGGGATGTATGATTTTATAATTTAGTTATTTACAGTTGGTCATGCTTGATGCTGATAAAAATGTATTTTATCGTTTAGAAAAACTCTTATCGCTTATCGAAATTAGATTTCAGAAGTATATAATACAAAGTGCTGTCCAAAGTCGTCCTAACCTCATCAGCATCATCACTCATCACTCATTTGGGATCTGGCCCATGGCAAGAAGGCAAAAGCATTAAGCATGGAGTTCTGCATACTGGTGAGAAATCATACAAAAGTAGTGTAATATATGACCATACATTTGTATGGTTTCTCACCGATATGCACAATTGACAATTGTTATGTATGCAGAATGAACTATTAAAATATCATGCAAGTACTTAAATAGTGTTTTTTTTAAATGTTTTACACTGTGGCGTTTATAATATTATAATATTCCTAGATCTGTTCGGCTATCAACTAGATATTTAACGGTAAACGAATATAACAGTAATTCAGCAACGTTGTAATTAATTATAGGGCAAGTGTCAAAATACTTGTCTCGATATACTCTTAAATCAAAACGAGCAATGTTGTTTTTTTCCTTAAAAAAATTGTATGTTTTAGATTATTTTTTTTGGTAACTTTTCAAACTGACTTGGGCGATTGGAAAATGTCCATCTTGGAGAAGTTACTTTTGTAGTGTAAAATGTCTTTATTGTTACATTACTATAATAGTAAATACTAATTAAATCACTTATGTAAATATAATTGTAACAAAATTTCTTATGCATCTTTATAATTTAGGTAAATGTGTTTAATTGACTTTATTTTATATGTTATTTTTATGTAAGTTATGCCGAAAAAGTTTTATTGTCATTTAAAGTAAATGGTTTAAAGTTTAACACATCAGTATGTACTTCAATCTTCATAATGGGCCAAAACAATTTTTTTTTTTTACTAAATTTCAAAATAGTATATTTTCACAAACTTTGTAACACATTATTTATTTTTAATTACTTGTAAAAATTACAGCTTCATTATAATACACAGAATTATGTAATATAAACATGGAATGTGTTTTCAAGAAACTATATGTATTATGTTACAGTGTTACTTATTCGTATTATTATTATTATTTTTTTTTTTTAATTAAAATAAATTAAATTGTATTATTGACGTCATGGTGGGGTCAATTACTGTATGACCTTCAGGTATTATCCATGATGTGGTCACACCACGGAATAACATTATCAAATAATATAAAATATTACCTTATGGGTCACACACTGTAGGTCATGACTCTTGAGCGTACGGCTTATCACATTTTCCCCGCTAAATCACTGATAACGCAATCGTCTTATGGCATATCATCTCAGTTGTTTAAAAAGTTATTACTCGTTTATTATTTTTCAATTTTCCGCGATTAGCAAATAGTTGTTGTTGTTGTTGTATTGTTTTCTACCACAATCGAATAGCGACAGCAAATTTCCATAACATTACAATAGTTGCATTCCCCGAGTACGTTCAAAGTTGTTGCATTTACTAACATGGCAAAAGAGGTTGTTGTTAAGGCAGAAGAACGACCGACGACTACCGAGGAACCGCCTAAGAAACTGAAACCATGTTGCGCCTGTCCGGAAACGAAAAAGATTAGGGATTCGTGGTAAAAATTGTGGAAATCATAATATAAAAAATTAGGTTTAGTGAATTAAAAAAAATGTCATACGCAAAATGTTGGTCTCTCCTAGAAATTCAGCAATAAATAATTTCAATAAAGTAACTTTCAATTTGCCATCATTCTTATTATTGTCAATGAATTACAAAACATATTTTTATAGTACCTATGTTAAGGAATAAGACGTATAAACATTTGGCAAATAACTCGTATGGATTCCCCTTTTACATTAAAGGTTTTGTGGAGCAAAGACACGAGTGTAGTGTCGTTTGGGGGAGACATTTGTATGATACAATTACACATTTTATGAAATGGTTTCTTTGTGCGTTTTGGAAAATTTGGTTTTAGTACAAAGTAGGGTTTTCCAACCTTACCTAGATAAAAATGTGTTTGTTTCCCTAACCTTAAAAACAAATGTTACTCAATATTGTGCAATTGGGATAATTGTATGTATCTACATAAGATTCAATAGTTAATAGCCGTTCCCAAGATAACTGTTAATAATACAAAATGTTACAATTTCATTAAAAATTCACTGTGAATTTTAAATTTTAGACTTAAATCATTTGTTAAATAGTAAATGATCCAAATTTGAGTTACAGTTATCGTATTCTGACACTAGAAAATACTAATTCCAACCTTCACTTATCATTTAAAACCTCAAAATCAAATCAACTTATGTGATTATTATGTTTTGGCCCTCGATACACATATTTTACTGAATTACAATTACTCGTAAATAATAAATAATACTTGCAAATAGCTTTTTCTCATTTTTTAATTTTTCTAGAAACATAGAAGTAAAAATATCAGAATTTTTAAACGTAAACATTAAAAAAAAAAACAACAATTTTACTTCACAAAGTTCTGTTTGTTTATTTGCAAAATAAATCCACAATACTAAACATAATATTCAAAGGTTACTAAAGTGCAATAATAATTGCTATTATATACTTCTATGTACAAATACTCTATTTACATTTTTCACTTAACTAGTCGCTACTATAATATTTTAATGTTATTAAAAACGATAGGTATAGATAATATATATTAATATTTTTTTTACAGTATTATGGAAAACGGAGAAGAAAACTGCCAGCATTTAATCGAAGCACATAAGGAATGTATGAGAAAAATGGGCTTTAATATATGAATCCTTCCTTATGATGTAATTACTATACTTCTAGTCTGTTTGATATACATTTACAATATGTATAATATATTATTTATTTTTACATAATATAAGTATTTTTTTTTTTTTTAATAATATGTTTTTAGACATTTTTTAAATTACTACAACAATATTTGTGGAAGTATGAACAGTATTTAAATAAAATCACTATTTAGTATATTATAAATTATGAGTGTTTTTTTTAAATATTATAAACGCTATAGAGTCTGCGGTAACTCCTTAAATAATGACATATAAGCCAAACTTTATTGAAGCACATGCATACACTATGTCCATATTATATGTAACAGTGTTCAACATTTATGTACAAAATAATAACAGAAAGTTAAGATAAACTAAATAAGCAATTAAAAAGTATTATTATAATAAATTGTTTTAATCAACAGTCATTAATATATATTTTTTTAATCTTCCTTTATTTTTATGGAACGCGATCGGATATTATGGTTTTGCCATTCTGAAAAAAAAAATAGATACATTAATTAAAGTAATATAATATAATTTAAAGCAATTAGTCAAGACCTGGCAGATAAGTTTACCTGTACATGTTTGGTTTCAGGAACTGTATAAATTGTATAATAAAACTACTCGCAATACAATACTCTACATAATTTAAAATTAAAATGTTTCATGCCTGCTCAATGTTGAACAGTGAAATTAGTGATTTAGGTTCAAAAGAAAAGGGTTTTTTTTTTTTTTAAGTGATAAACATTTAATAGTAATTTTATAGCAAGTCCAATTTATGAATGAGTGAAGCTTTCACAGGTTGAAATATCACGTGGATGATTTTCGGTTATATCCGTGTCAATGGTTGCTAACCGACATTTCGGACTCGTTGCAGAGTCCATCTTCACTGTTCCGCTGCCGTGACAGTACAACCATTGACACGTATATATCCGAAAATCGTCTACATGATGTCCAATTTATTTACTTCGTAACATCTAATGGAGACCAAAATGTAAATTCTCGTCCATTTGATTACATTTGATTTTACAACTATGTGTTAAAAATGTATAATTACTTCAAATTCTGAATCGTTGGTCATTATTCCTCGGACCGTGACGAGCTGATATTGCTTGGATTTAAATGTTTGTAAAGATTTCCGTATGTGAGCCATTGTATTCATTCCGCTTTCTGTCCTTAATTTATCATAATGGCCACTAGGATCCAACACCAGTAACAAAATTGTACCATCCGACAGTTTTTCAACGCCAACAACAGTCCGACTGTGACCTACACAAAAATAATTTGAACGTGTAAAATTTGATTACAAAAAATGTAAATAAATAATATAATATTTTTATATTTATATATGAAAATTACCATCGTGTTGTATGTATACTGGAGGTATAAATTTTTTGTTTCGATCGTTGAAATGTCTGTAGAGCCATCTGAACATTTCTGGATGGGTATTTTTGGGTCCAGTTGGCTTATGGAAATCCACTATTTGTGACCTAAAATAATTTAAAACATAATATACAAATATTTTATGGTCTTGTATGACAAAACCTACTTTATTTTCAGAGCCGTAAGCATAGTGACGACTTCTGTAGCACCAATCCATTTTTTTGTATTATAAACGGTACCTCCCAGTTGCTCTCTACCTGGTTCATCGATTCCCATGCTCCACGATTTTTCCAAGTGTTGCTGCAATCTCGATATAGAAGGCATCCATGAACGCGGTAGAGGCCCTTTCTCCACTTCCCAAATACGTGAAATGTGTTCGTTGTAATCTAGTTGTAACAACATACTAGACATCAACATTTGCATGTTTCTGTAGCCGCATCCCCAGCCTTTGTCTCCGTATGTTGATCTATAATGGTCAGTCGGAGATGCCAAGTGAACTTCAGTTACGTTTGGAGATGCCATACTGAAGTGACGAATGTACTCAATTAAATCTACACGACAAAATAAAAAATTAAAACAAAATTTTTATTTAAAAAAATTACACAAAAACAGGTCTGATCGACAAACACATTCATGAACACGTATAGGTTATCAGATGTAATGATTTTCTTACAGAACTCGCAAGGCAATAGAATCTTCGCTGAAGTCATATTTATTATTACACATTAAAACTGTGAGATATTAAACCATCAAAGTATTACAAATAATTACGATTCAATAACAAAAAATATAAATATGCAAATATAAATTAATTTAATGCTCATTTGTCAAAATCCAAATGAAAACAATATTGAAAAAAAACAATGAATTCTTTTGTTGTGTTTATTAGTGACTATTATCAATGACAATCAATTATGAGCTAACAGGAGACAATTATTATGATAGCAATATAAAAAACAACATATGATTTAAATTTGATAAGAAAGAAATAATTATTGAAAACAATATTATTATTATGACAGAGTGAGGAAGCGAAGATTGTTAGTTTTAATATCATGATGCCAAGCCTAAGGAAACAAGAAAAAATTATAATATCAAAAATATTAAAGGTTTAGACTAGATATTTAATTAGGAGCAAAATATATGAAATACGTTTTTAAGGTTTTTTTTTCTTAATAGGAAAAAATAAAATAAAAACCTAAAAATAAGCTTAAAGGAATAACTTTTATTGCATAAATTGTTTTGCAAAAGTGTAAAAATTACACGTCCCACAAATTTAAAACATTAGAGAATATAAAGTTTTTTTAAAAAGGCACTGGACTGTCCATTTTTTTTTTAAAAGTTTTAAGACTACAGTTAGCACCAATTTACGATTTTTTTGATTTTACTTCTGTGAAGTAATAAACTTTTGAGTATCAATTTTTTTTTTTGTTAATGTTTTGATAGTTAAAATAAAGAATCAAACTTTTTATGTATTTTATTTGCCCGAAAAGAACAATTATTGTTTTCTAGTCGAGTGAGATTTAATTCACTATTTTCAATACCAAATATCAATAATATTAAATTCAGTTTTAATTGCCGGAAAACTGTGTTTTCGCAGATTGCGTATGTTTTAACAAAAACACCTAAAATCTTAAAAAAAAATTTATCAAAGTTAGAAAGTATTAAATTGAGGTGCTGTATTTACAAATAAGCATCAAAGCGTTAATTTGAAAGTGATTTTATCTGAGAGGGTTAGTACAGTAGAGTAAAGGCATAATGGAATCAAAGCAACGAGGGGACGGAGAGGTCTACAAGAATTATTATAAATAAATGTGATAAAATTGAATAAAATAACTTTCAAATAAACGCTTTGATGCTTATTTGTAAATACAGCACATCAATTTAATACTTTCTAATTTTGCTGGTTTATACTTGGTTTGGACTGGACTGGCTTGAAAATACTAACTACCGATTTACATCGAAGCGTTTTTTTGAATATGATTTTACCCACTGTACTGGTTTTTTTATAATGACAACATATTTTACAAATATTCAAATAGATTACATTATTTTGCAACAATTGAACAAAATACTATATAATCCATCAAACTGTAATATTCTAATAATAATAACTTATTAAACGTACCTCTGGTAGCAGAAGCACCTGTATCGAGCCCTTTGCTTTCGGCCATTTTTATTTCATATATTTTCTCATAGTAATCGTAGACAGACATTTGACCGCTAGAGACGGCTTCTTGTAAATTAGTCATAGTCTGTTGATTGTAATTGCCTTTATTGTCCATACCATAAGCGGCTTGAAGTTTTTGAAAATCTTCTTTTTCTTTCTGCTTCATACGTTCACGTTCTTGCTTTTCAAGTTGCTTGGCTAACAACTGATCTTGATCAGGCAAATGATCAGAAGGTGGTGAAGAATCTAAAAAAAACAAATACCATACAAATTAATATGTACACATTCAAATGATAAACATAATTAAAGAATTATTTTGAAATTATTTATTTACTTGATTAAGTTAATAAGTTATTCAAATAGTGTGAAAATATTCATTGGGAGACTAGTGTTTCAAAATTAAAAATAAATAACTGGATATGAAATTCTTCACTTCTCAGCTAAAATAATTTTAAGTTTAATTCTTTTAACATTTTCTTACATTTATTTAAAAATTAAATGTTTTAAATAATATGTTAATGCTAGATAAAAAATAAATAATAATAATTTCATGCTATATATTCATGTTTACTTGTCACAAATACGTTCAATTCCTAATATTAATATGTAGGCAGGGACAGTGGCGGATACCAATGATCAAACTGTAATGTTTCTGCTCAGCTAGTTAGCTAACTAACTAGGCTATAAGTCCCGTATTATACAGGATTGACCCGTAATACAACGCTTTTAACATGAAGTTGTGGGACGATATGTAGTATTGATCATGATGGAAACATATAAAAATGCATAAAATGTGTAGTCATTAAAAGTTTTAAAAACATGTCTTGTATTTTTGAAAATTAAATCTGAGATCAATAGGCTAAGTTAAAGCATCCGTTGAGAGTTAGGCTATGGTGATGGATTGCTAGTTTGATACAACCTAGCAATCTACTTAATACTCCTAGTCTACTTTAATAAAATTATGTGATCAAGATGATGTATCACGCCCAAAAGACATTAAGAAATCAAATGACAACTAATGTTACACCTATCTAAAGGGGTTAATATTATATACGATTCCATTTAAAGCAGAATGAAATCATATCTTTTGGTTAGATGCTAATCTAAACGGGTGGTTTATAAATCTACAGACAAACGAGCTTAATTACACTGCATTTACGTGAGTTTATAATACCTCGATAATGTTGTTCGATATGTGCATCCAAGTCTCTTAAACTGTCAAAGTTTTTCATTCCACATATGACACAACCTTCGTTGATATTTTCCAACAACGGTATTCTTTGACTATCGGAATCCTAATAGGTTAATTAAAAAAAAAAAATAAAACCATTATATTATTGTTGTAATTTATGACTTTTAACCAGGTATAGCTGTACCAATTGTGGGTTGACGATATCGTGGTGTTCTTCGTTAATGTGAGTCTCGAGATGATCGCACTGATCGAAAGCTAGCGGGCATATCGGACATGGGAAGTCCACGGTGGTGAGTCTACGAGGACTGCCAGGGTCGAAATGCATTCGGTTAACGTGTTGCTGCAAACGGTCGGTGTCCAAATCAACGTAATCGCACAGCGGGCACCGCACGTCGGTGTCGGTGTCCAATTTTCGACGTTTCGACGACGAGCAGACACTGGACGACGGGTTCGTCGACGAATGTACGTGTCGCTCTGTTATGTGGTTGGACAGTTTGTTTTCTGTGAGAAACGACTCGCCGCATATTTCACACACGGTCTTCGATCTAGACGACGACATGCTGCTGGGGGTCCTACGAACGTTAGCGAAGATTTTTGCAAAAACCAATTTGGGACCGATGGACACGAAACGAATTCACGAATATAGGACGGGAAATAATATTCATTGGATTCTTTTGCTATACGCTTCATACAATAGCTGCCCAATTTGATTATCAATAATGAGAATACCCAGATAACAATGGACAATAAAGAGCAGGGTGCACCAACATTGGCGATATTCTTGTTGAACTATTAAGTCGTCGTGCGATTTAACCACTTGGAATCGCGCTTAACTTTTCGTCTATAATAATATCGTCCGACTTTGTAGATATTTTTTATACTCGGTGAAAACTTTCAATACACGAGCTAAACGTTTATTAAAAATTGTCATTCGCATTCAGACGTTGGCAACACTTTGTTTTGATACTTAAACATATGACTTCGGATTTCCGTCTGTTTGCTGTTGTCAATTTTGGATAATTTTTTTTTTTCTACAACATTAAACATAAGAGAATTCAGATTATCCACTGATTATAATGATTACCGAAATCTGAACACTGTGTAATACTATGTTTATACTGTATTGTTGTGAAAAAATTGCCAGACGCTAGTAATAACACATTATTTGACTACACGATATTATAAAATTAAAGCATATTAGCATAAAGTAATAATACATTTTTTTTTTAACAAAAATTATCATACTCAAAAATATCCATGGCCGACGAACTAATTAATTACAAACTCCAACTACAACAGGTAAACACAATTTAATAAAATTATGGTGTTTAAAATGATTGTGCCAAATAATTATTATAAGCATACGTTGATCAACTTTTCTAAATGATGGTATAACCCTGATATAAATAATAATATTTTTAAAATTAAATACCTATTCCTTTACTAATCTCATGTTTGTTACGTATTTAATTATCGTGCGGTTTTTGTACAATTGCATATTTAACCGTTTTTGAATACTAGATATTTAATGTATTCTGACATTTACATACAATATTTATGCAATAAGCTATGTTAAATCAATTTGTTGCAAACATTTTTTTTTCAACAACACTCACTTCTTACCTAACACTTGTTAGATAAGGTGTTAAAAAAAAAACGTACCTAGTTGAAACTATAATCAAACCGTCTACATCAAATAAACACTTGTCTGAAATCTAATGTAAACTACGTATTATTTAATATAGGTTGATGCCATTTAATTTTTTTTGTATTATTTAAAACCCTTTTCGTAAACTAGATACTTATTAAGCTGTTTATTTATGGCATTATATAATAATTTTTGATTAATTATAGAAAAATATTATACATAATTTAAACTTCTGTGTTAGAAATTAAAATAATGTTTTCACTTTTTAGAAGCGAGAGGATTTATTTTTAAAAAAAAATTGTTTTGTTTGACGCTCTTAGATTGACAATTTATTTTCTTTTAAAGATGTTTTCCAAATGCTATTAACCCGAGAAATCACTGTTAGGTACTGTTATCACTTAGGTTTTCTACATTGAGTGTTCAATAAATTCGGAATTTTTTTTTATAACATTTTAATGTTAAAAAAGAACTCCTAACTCGTTGAACACCCTAAATAGCTATTTGTAATGCATTATTAAATATTAAAAAATTCATAAATTATACATTTTACTACACTTTTTCAAACAGATTAAAATGTAGTTTTTTTTTTAATGATATTAACTACCTTGTAGTGTATACCTTGCAAAATATGTTTTACACCGCCTACCTATCTATATTTTAATTAATAAACAGATGCAGATTTGGGGAACAAATATAGAGCCTCCTTTATCCTATGTGGACTTGATCAAGGTATAACAAGTAGTATTACAATTAGGTTCCAAAGTTAAATTATAGTGTAATTTAATTTCTCCCGGTTTATACAATTGTAGAAGAAATTTGCTGTTCATAAAGTCATGAACTTCAGATATGTTTTATCAGCGTATTACCCAATTGATCAAACAATGGCAGCTGGAACAAATGTACTGTAATTCATCACGTGTACTGTATTGGTCTGTATTCATTAAACGTAACTGCTGGTTGAGAATAAAGTACTTTTTATAAAAGAGATTTTCGGACATTTTTAGGAAACGACCATGTTGAACACTTCACATCCGGATGTTGTCATGTACACGCACCGGTAAGGTTTGGATGACTTAGCTTTGGTCCATTGACTATAGCCCATTTATTATTAAATAAATATTTTGAAGTCTTAGGCCCCTTTTTGTTACAGGGGAAATTAAAATAACTATTATCTTAATAATAAAAAAATTCTATAGTATTTCGATAACAATTTCGTTTAAATACAGGTAGAAGCTGCTTTAACTAATAGCCCTGAAGACCCGGAACTTTTAAAACTCAAAACCGATTTGGAAGAAGTTATTGAATTGACTACTGAACTTGTACGAACACAGACACAACCTAAAAAGGAAGTTGGTTAGTACACATATGCCAATGTGAAAGTTAATAGTTTAAAAATTTTAAAAATTCCTTTTTTGTGTTGTATTTTCAGTTCAAACCAAAAAAGAATCGTCATATCAACCTGATATATTGCCGTCGGTATCAAAAACAAAAGGGGAATGGAAATCGGGTGACAGGTGTTTAGCACAGTTAGCTGACGATGGTAAATTCTACGAGGGTACCATTGAAACCATAGATGGCGAAGCTGTGGCAGTTTTAATCGACGGACAAAAAACTGCTGCCGTAACGACAATGGATTACATCAAGGACTTGCCAAGAGCTCATCCTAACGAAATGAAACACAAGTAACCGAGACATTCTGAGTTTATTTAAAGCTTTTTGTATCTTATATCTTGTTTATAGAAAGCAGCCGGTAGCCAAATATAGAGAATATCAGAAAAAGAGAAAACTCGCAAAACAGCAAAGATTTAAGCAATTAGAAGAAGAACGAGAAGTTGAAAAAAATAAGTGGCTAGCTTTTGCGACCAAGGTAATTGTATAAAAAAAAATTTGTAATATTATTACATTTTACAGTAGTCTATTGGTATTCTGGCAGATATCAGACCAGAGGACTGCTGGATTAATAGAGGCTTATTAAAGAACTAATTTTACTAGCAAAATCTATATATTTATAAATATATGTTTATATACATGTATTATTGTACAAAATATTACAAGCTTCATTAACTTTTATACATACTTTATTGGTCAGGTTTACAAAAAATGACAATTTTCTTTTGCTTTTCCGCTTGAAACAATTTTATAAATATTTGTTCTTTTTTGAAGGCTGGGTTATTACTGGACGTGCCAAAATATCATATAGCCGGATTACTGAGAGACTACTGTATACATAAATGTTAATTAATTATTTGTTAAAACGTTTGTTAAAATATATTAATTTTAATTTAGGGTGTTAAAAAAGGCATTCCAAAGAAAAGTATTTTTGCATCGCCTGATAATGTTCATGGACGAGTTGGAATTGGTACTTGTGGTTTGGGGGGAAAAGGAATGACCGATTTTCCCACAGCAGAAAAGAGGAAAAAATAAGACTGTGTATCATCTATTTTATTATAATTCAATAATTTGTAAAATGCTACTGTTAGTTTTTAAATAAAAAATAATTTTGTTAACTGACTTAAGAAATGTCTTAATATCAAACATTGCCTATTACTATTATTATAATTTTTTTTTTTTTTTTATGTTTCTATTACAATAATTTATTAACTATTTAACATGCTTGTACGTTGCAAACAAAACATGTCTATTACAAAACTGAATTCATAAGTGTGTATACAACACTTAAAACAATTTACAAACTATGTTCCACGCCAACAGTAAACTTGGAATGATATATGTTAAACATTTAAAATCATACAATAGTCGTAAAATGATGTTAAATAATTTAGATAAATAAAAAATTGTATTTTTCAACGTAATGTATCTTGTTAACGCCTTTAAAATTATATTAACATAAAATAATTAACAATATTTGTGTTGTTGTAAAAGTTGTTCTAAGCGGTTCGAAACATATTTATATTTTATGTACATTTAAGTATTAAAAAAAAAACGTGATACGAATATTCAATATAATTTTATTACTATAAGTAGTATTTGATACAAAAATGTATTAATAATTTTGATGTTTGGATACTATTATTTGGATTTATTATTAATTTAAAATCGGTAATGGCTTCTGATATCTGGTTTAGACTCCGAGTTAGAAAGCTATAGACACCAATAAATTGAATGTGAGAAGACTTAGAATTATCTGAAATGAGAACATCCAGTTGAGAAAGACATCGGCGTCATATTGTTAAATTACATTCCCATGGGACGTTTTTTCTGTAAATTATTTTATTTTTTACGCCTAGTGCTTTTCGTTTATTGTATTCGATTAGTAATTCGATCCGCTGATATGATGAGATCAAACACCCTTTTTTTTCACCAGTATAACGTTACAGTTTTTTATTATTAATTTATTACAAATTCTTAATTTAATTTTAAAAAATGTCCAGGTGTTTTCAAAAATTGCCAAAATTTGGGTACAAATAAAACAATTTTTTTAGTTTATTATACAATATTAAATGATCAAAAATAATCTTTACTGTCCAAGGATAAATATATTTTTAAAGGGTAGCTTTTGAGGGTAAATTTTCAAAGTCAATGGTATTTGATTTCCTAATCAAAAGTAGAATAATGTAATGTAAAATATAATGGTGATCGATAACCAGAAGTACAAATTTAGAGAACAATACAAATGGTGACGAATATAGAGGTTTTCGGACAGAACGGATGATTTGGGTAGCCGGGTCCATTTGTCCAGAATCGGTTGAAGAAATGATGAGATTGTGATTTATCTTGGTCATTTTGTTTACTAATATAATAACCGATGTTTTACAACATTCATTTATACGACCTTACGATAGCCTTTGGTCGTTTCAAATTTTAACTATCCAATATAGAACTCTTTAAATGTTATCGTTTGCCATATTGTCCCGTTTTCGTTACATTGCGCTGTTTACCCAAGTCCCAACGTTAATAGATATCCTTGACGTTTATCATTGCTATATTTATATATATATATACATCTCGGGTCTAACGGACTAAAGTGGAAGAATTTAATTATGCGCATTAACCTTTTACGTCCAAGGTCGATAATTTCTATTTTCGATAATCGCCCCATGAAATGTTGACCTTTTTGTTCGTGTATACAAAATCAAAAGTGCAGTAGGTTTATAATTGGATCGGAATTAATTTTGGTAATGGACGAAAATGAAATTATAATAACAACAGAAACACCACTAGCCAGCATAGATATATACATGTAATACACAATTTTTTTTTTTTACATTATATAATAATTAATAAGTAGTCGTCACACGTTTATTATAAATATTATGATTTATTACTCATGTAATATCTGTGCTCGCCAGTCACGCTCGCCGGATCCCGGTGTTGGTTGAAAATTGAAATTTGTATGATAACAGAAGTGTATTTTCATTGGAATACACGGCGATAACGCTATGTCGTGGTAACCCGCACTATCTATTATACCGTTTTGCAGTTTACCAATAATCGGCAATGTTTTTTTTAGAAAACCGATACATTCGGTAGGTGTATGGAATTTTTTTGGTTTTCGATTTTCGTTCATCTTTTATCCGTTTACCACTTTGGTGTAGTCCTACAAATTCCGGTTAGGTTACTTAGAAAAACATTTCTGCGAACGTCAAACGTCGGAACGCCGTTAAAATGATTCATTGAGTGATCTCTTTCGTTATTAGTTTTTGTTTTTCTCGGTAATGAACAACAATACACCGACCAACATCCCAACGATGTCGAAGTTTTTGAAATTGGCCCATAAATTTAACAGTTTTTACTTGAACGGTATGTGTTTTATTTATATTTATCTACTGTGTGTATTCATCGTTGTGCATTTATATGTTTCACATCCTCGTTTATATTTTAGGCCCTAAAAGGAAAGAGTGTTGTGCTTTTATCGTGGATGGCGTTCAAGTGGGATTGGTTCGAGCGGCAGTCATTTCCGAACTGAGTCGTTATCCCAACGTGTTCATCGTCAACCCTAACAGTGTCATACTGAACCCGGCTTTCAGAGATTATGAAGAGAGGTCTGCCCACATTGACAGTGTACTTAGGGATATGAAAGATAAGCAACTATTTGTTACGCTTAAAGGATGGAGGGACGAGGTTTGTGATAACGGACACGTCATAATAGCTGATGTTTTACCCTGATATTTTTTACTACTTTTCAGTGCTATGAAGTCAGGACAATGTTTGCCGACCAACCACTACTGAAAATGGACCGATCTGCTACCTGTAATAATTTTACATAGTTTGATCAGTTATTCTAGAAAATGTCCACTAATAATTAGATATTGATTATTTATTGGTTTTTTAGGTTTGTTTGGTATTTGTAATTATGGTGTAGACATAAACGGTTATGTGAACCATCCTAGTAAAGGATTATGCATTTGGCTGCAACAAAGATCTTTAACGAAACAAACATGGCCCGGCAAATGGGACAATATGGTTGCTGGAGGATTGTCAGTTGGAAATAGCGTGATAAAAACAGCTCACAAAGAAGGAGAAGAAGAAGCATCGCTTACTGGCGACTTGTTGAAGAATTTGAAATCTGCAGGCACCGTGTCGTTAGTTGACATAATTTTTTTTAAAACTTACTTCTTCACTGAACAGTATTTAACTTGATTTTTTTTTTTTTTGTAGATTTTTTTACGAGAGTGAACGAGGTTTGTTCCCTGATACCGAGTTTGTATTTGATCTAGAACTGCCACTAGATTTTACTCCGTGCAATCAAGATAATGAAGTAGAAAAGTTTGAACTTTTGACTGCAAATGTTAGTATTTTATTGTTTCAGCACATCATTTAATTCTAACCAAATGTTTTTCCAATATTGAATATTGAATTTAACTGAACAATGTTTTTAGGAAACTGTAAACAGAATTTTGACACCAGATTTTAAAACGACAAGCTGTCCTGTAATAGTTGACTTTTTGATCAGGCACGGAATCATTACACCTGAGAATGGTAAAAATATTTTTTACATATTTAAATAATACCCAACTTAAGTTGTACTTTTTGTTTACTGATATATACATTTGTATTTTTGTAGAACCACGTTTTCCAGAATTAGTTGAACTGCTACACGTTCCACTTCAGTCTTTTTATACAAATCGTAACGATGAAAAATATTCCAAAAACGGCCTTCCAGACACTTTGTAGTTTTTGTTTTTTCTTGTTTTTTCAAACCTCTTCCTTCTTTATCTGTATGCTTCAAAATTGCATTATTTATTATTTTGATTGTGATTTATTATATTAGATTATTTTTACCAATATTCACAAAGTGTTTTGTTCCTTCCATTTTTATTGTGATATACATAATATGTGTAATGTGTACACCTCACTTAAACATTTTTGATTTCTCAAAATGTTTAAAAAAAAAAAATGTGTCTTTAAGTAATATTTATTATTCCTGTATTGTATATCAATAAAACATCAGACTATATTTAGTTATACCTAACAAACAATAATGTTTTTATATTTGTGAATAGTGTGATAAAAATTATTTTTAGAATTAATTATACAATCATTGTTGGCTAGTCAATTTTTTTTTTAAATTGATATACTTTCTGAAAGTTGTAATGAACGTTTGTTTGAAGAAGTATATTATCATAGGAAAACAAATGTGTATTTTTTTAAAATTATGTTTGACGTAAAAAGTTACTCTATTTGTGCAGTACTTGTTGAATAAAAATTTTGATTCATGAACGTATTTAAATAATTTCATTTACAGAGAATCAAATGAATGTAACAAAGATGCTACCCGTGGAAGTTCTAGTATCCCCCATCCTTTCTATCTCTCCCCGATCGGCGTCCGTTTAAGCTTTTTCAAGAATTTTTCCATTAAATTTCAGCCTATCAAAACCGTTTTCATGATAGTTATCCGATTCAAATCTGTGTCAACAACTTAGGTCGGATCAATAAATCGACGAAATCGAGTATATAGTATTATACAAAACTATGACCTAATGCTCGAGTTTAATGTTTCCCCTTAAACTATATTATTATGAAGGCTGCCAGGAATTCGTGGCCGCCTACAACACCCACACAGACCTCGGTAGTCTTAATTTTAATCAGTGTTGGCAATTATTCAAGTTGTTTTTTTTTTTTGGTTAGACGTACATATAAGTCCCAAAAAAGGCAGTAAACCATTATATTTTTGGTTAAATTCAACACTTCGGCTGGATTTTTTTAAAACCATCGTTTGCATTTTTTCAATTTCTCAGTTAACCTATTTTAAACGAATCCACTCATTACCTATAACCACTTGTTCGACAACTCCACTCTGGAACAGGTACTATTCCAAAAATGTCTCTATACTCATTACTCGTTTATGATTATGCACTTGAACATTTTTCAGTAGTGACTAATTACTAGTCAGTACCCATAAGTACCAAGTATTATAAGTGTAGACGTATTATTATTGCACACGTATAGTCTTCGTGGTTTTAACTCGAATATTATTGTACTTTAGAGTTTTGATCGTCAGACAAGCCGGTAAACCGCGAGAATTAATTCCCTCCTCCCCCCCCCCGTTTAATTCGTATTTATGACCATTAAATTGTAGAGTTTGTGTTATCACTGAACAACAATATAATTATATCATCGACATAATAATATTATGTCAACAATGTCAATAATAAATAAATAAACGCTGGCGATTATGAGAGAGTTTTTAAACATTTCATATTTTCAACGATAAATATTGTGGTAACGATTCGGATTTAATTAACAAAATTGTGTAATCCCGGGGTCGTAGCAATTGGCCGATACTGTTGTTTTAACTACTTACAGATCTGCGTTATTTGCCGAGTAGGCCTGAAAGATGTCCAGGATGCATGCTAATTATAACCTGTTGATCCTATGAAAATATATTCTATACAAAGTAAACTCGAACAAATTTAGGTAAACATTGCAGGTTACGTATGAAATATTGCTTTGATCCGTACGTTTAATTTTTGGCACAGCAGTATGTTTTTTTGTCTATTTTAAATTATTTTACGCCAATGAGTGTAGAATACGACGAAAATATTCATTTTTGCGATATATATCGTTGAAATAAGTTTGTGTTTTACTTTTACAAAGTTTTGATTTTGTCTAGAATGGCATGTTGTGGATTTGACAAAGACTGTCCTGATGAACCGGGTCACCTAAGAGTCAGAGGTTGTACGGATGTCCTGTGGCTTATAATTTACTTGTTTATGTGGTGTCTTATGGTAAATATATTATTAAACAACTAATAAACATTAACACTGTATAGTTTGAATTATTATGCTACATTTTTGGGTTATTGTGTGTACTTACATTTTTTTTTGTCTTCTTAAATAATTTCTATGTAATATTATCCATTTTATATCAAATATTATGATTATATCAAAAGTATAGGTTACGAGAATTCGACAAAGTATATTCGATTTTATGTTTATAAACAAACAATATATCATATCATGGAGTTCTAAAGCCACCTAACTCAATATCTTTACAGGAGGCTCTAAAAACTGATTTATTGCATTAGGAAATATCTTGTTCTTGTGTTGGATTTTTTCATTTTCTCCCATTTTCAGTACTGCGATCAACACAAAGCACGGTGACCATTTCATCGGCTACGAAAAAATACATTAGGTAGGGTACCTAACTAATTTTTGGAAAAAAATGAATTAGGTGGTTTTAGAACTCGCATGACGATATATTATGTTTAAAAATAAAACATATTGATAAAGAGCTATTTTATAATACTTTTTTTTTTAAAACCTGCTTTTTCCAAAAATGTGAACTGGTCGATTACATGTTTTGATAAAAATACTTTTAGTGTTATTACTGTTGAGTGCAGCTATGTATTATTTTATACATCTCTGCATTTAACTATTAGCTTACATTTGTTAATGATTCCAAAAGTTTTTTTTTGAGCCAGTATTAAGTAAAAATATATTTTTCTCAAACCGCATTAAAAAATATTAATTGTTGGCTGAGTTTTTAATTTTTAGTTATAAAATAGTTGTATTACCACATTTTTCATTCTGATATACACTTATGGCCATCTGTGTACAGCAGCCGCGTTAAAGTAAAATATGGCAAGAAACTGTGGCTGGCCCCCAAACTGAGTTTTTTTTCTAAAAAATTACCCCTGTGCAAAATTTGTTATGTTTACATTGTATACTTTTTAGATTCTTATCGCTGTTTTCGCAATTGTATATGGAGATCCACTTCGTCTGATAAATGGCCATGACAGTTTTGGTAATACTTGCGGTTCGTCAACTAACACAAAAATGGGCGAATTATCTGGATTGGAGATGACTGATAAAAAGTAAAATAATTTTTGACTTTTTGCTTTATTTTTTATGTTATTTGGTAATTTTTTTTTTTTTTAGGTTCCTATTTTATTTAGATCCAGCTAATATTGAGCATAGTCTTCAAATATGTGTTAAACAATGTCCTAATACTGATCTATTAGACATAAACGACTTAAAAGTATATTATAATCGCACCAAATCATTGCTCTGCAGGTAAAATTTTGAACATAATATGAAAAAATGTATTGATATTTCAATGTGTTGTATATATTTTATAGCTACGATTTTAATTTAAATAACATCACTGTGAGCCCACAAAACCAGAGTTTTTTCACTACGTCTTTAGGACCTTGTCCTCCGTTTCCAGTATATAAAAGTCATCATGTACTGAATCGTTGTGTACCCAATGATTTGAAAAATGAAACATTACCACTTATTTATAACATATATGGGATGTTGAACGATTGGGATTTCCACGAGGAAATTCTTAATGACTTATACAAGACATGGCCTCAAATATTATTTTTCACTGTCTTGACTTTTGGTAATAATGACGAGAAATAGTTGAAAAGGAAAAAATCTCGTGTTTAATACGTTAATGTTTGTTATTTTAAACTTATGTTTTTATATATACATATATATATATCAATTTTTAGTTCTGTCGTTTGGCGTTATTGTATTAATTCATGTGCTAACAAATGTTATTGCATACATTTTAATGGTTTCCATCAGTTTGATGGTATTAGGTAAACAACAATTATTAACTGTAATTTTTTTACAATTTTCTTGTTAACCTGATTTTTGATTTTATTTTATTTTAGCCACTGTGTTTTTGCTCTGGTGGGAATATATTTCTTTGAAAATGCGTTTGGACCATACTGTGGAAGCGCAAACTCTTAGTATCGATACTTGCAACGAACACGTTTTCTTTATACTGGCAATATGCTTTACATTGTTTTCAGTAAGGTTTTTTTTTTTGTGCAAGACATTGTTCGAACTCTGTATAATTTAAGTTTATCTCGTAACAGGTGGTATTACTTTTACTGGTGTTGGCAATGCGCAAACGTTTAGGCGTCCTTACAACTTTATTTCACGAATCTGCTGAATGTCTATCCAAACTCCCTGCACTATATTTGCAGCCTCTAGGTACGTTTACTGTGCTGCTGGGCTTGTATACTTTTTGGACAGTAGTGATACTTCATTTGGCAACAGCGAGTAAGTTGAGAACTTTATGTTTTCATTTCAATATCAATAGTTCAATTATTGACTTTTTATTACAGACTATCCGGGTACGAAATCGCTAAAACTTTTGACTGATTTGACGGTTCAAAATCTAACATCTAATAATTCCATAGTTCCGGACACGTTAATGAAAGATTTAGCTTCTGTTAACGGTAGGTTTTTACATCTCGCTTCTATTGTAATCTTGATGTAATGTTTTTTTTTTACATTTTTAAAATTTAATTCTAGCTGGATTAACAGCAGTAGAGTTCAAAGATGCCAGTTGGGTGAGATATATGTGGTGGGTTTACATTATAGGTTTGGTGTGGTCGACAGAATTTATATTGGCCTGCCAACACACGATCATTGCTGGCACTGTAGCGACATGGTATTTTGCAAAGTAAGTATTTTAAAGTTTTGTGTTTTTTAATTTTAGAATATTTTTTAGGGAAAGCGTACTCGAGTGCAGTGGCGCAACTAGTTGATTGGGATTCATTTAAATATCGGGGGCCTCTCAACCCTGAAAAATATAAATAGCTTTGAAGAAGTTGAGTGCATCTTTCAAACTCTCTATCGATAGAAATTTTAATAAAAAAATGTTTAATTATAACCATTTTAAAATCGAAAAAGAATTCTACAATATACAATTAATCGTACCCACGATTATTCAATGGGGGGGGGGGGGGCTACCGTAACAAATAAGTTGTCATTAAAAAGTCTGATAGGAATTGTAATACAATATAATATTATTATGATTATATACTTTCATCAAAACCGTTGTTATATGATATTCCTATCTGTTTGTTATCTATATTTTAAGTGTTAAAAAAAAATATAATGGATTACCATTTTTATAGTACAAGGAACACGTTTTTGTAAAATAATAGTCAATTTATATCTCTTACATAGAAAACTGATAAGTACACGGGACCGTTGTTGAGCCGGAAACCCGCCTCCTCCCACTGGGTACGTCACTGAAATGAATATTAGACCTTTGTTTTTGTATTTCCTATGGCTTACCATGTCAATCAATAGTAGCTCTAAATACTTTCTAATTAAATTTTTTGTTTTAAATTTATTTGAGATAGGAAATTTTAATTTAAAAAATTTTGACCTGAAAACTAACCAACACATTTATAGTTTGAAAAATGATTCCTAAAGCTAAAATATGACATTTAAAAATCCTTCTTTTGATAGTTCATGGTACAATTTTCTTTTATTAAGTTTTAAGTTTTACCAGTTTCATTGGACTGTAACTTGATAAAACAATTTTTATCGTAAAATATCAAAAGAGCGATTTTGAAGTATCATATTTTAGCTTTAAGAGTCTTTTGTTAAAATGTAAAAATTGTGATTAGTTTTCAAATTAGAATATTTTAAATGAAAAATAAGAAACTATCGATGTTAATCAAATGCAAAAAATTCACGAGAAAGCACTCAAATTTGAGCTAAGGATCTGACATTTTAGGACTTCTTGTTGGAATAGGCTACTGTTATAGATTAAATATAATGTTTATTTATAGTACATTTAATCTATGCTACTATTGATTGGGGGGGCGAGTAAATATAGTTTTATTTTAGGCACAGTCTAATGTATATAGGATAATACATGTACATGTAACTTGGACATTTTGAATAACAAATAGTATGTCTACATAAATGATTTTTTTTTATTGAAATATAATTATTATAAAAACTGTTAACGATAACACACGCTAAGACAAACATTTTGAAAAAGGTTTACTTAATTTTTCAGTAGGTTTTAAATATAATAAACTGAGCGCAGACCACTTGGCCTCAGACCCTGATAAATTGTGTGTCCCAAGTGTCCGAGTTTCACATTTCTAGTTGCACCACTGACTGAGTGACATAAGGCGGTAGTGATTTAAATACTTTTAATTTACTCTTAAACGTTTTTGAAAACTTTTCAGTGGCAAAATCAGCAATAAATCAATCATTTTTTCATCGATGTACAATCTTGGATTTTATCATTTGGGATCAGTAGCTCTTGGGTCGCTACTAATTATTTTTTTCAAAATACCAAGACTTATTTTAACATTATTTAACCACAAGTATTAAACGTGAAATAAGAAAATCTAAATGGCGTATTTCAATTCTTAATTTTTTTTTAGACAAAATGTGACTAATTACGGACGTATTACAAAAAAAACATGCTTTTGTTGTACTTACTCTTTTGATCATTTTTTGAAGTACATCAATCACAACGCATATGCCATAGTCTCGATTGAAGGCGTCGGGTTCTGTTTGGCTGCGTCTAGAGTATGTGAATTGTGTAGAATTGTGCTTTGAGTATCTAATGAAATATATTTAAATGTTTATTTTCTAGGCGTGGAACGTGATAGTCTCCAACGCATTGAGACTGGGCGCTATCAACAGTATTGGAGATTTTATATTGTTTTTAGCTAAAGGTCTTGTTACTCTAATAATTGGATTTTCCGCATTAATAACATTGCGATCAGATCCGGAACTGCATTTCCACGCTATACCCGTAATCATTATTTCGGTATTTGGATTTTTCATCGCACACTGTGTTATAACGTTATACGAGGTAGTACATTATTATAAGGTTAACAATTTAAGGTTAGTTATATATAAACAAACAAAAACCAAAGAAATTGGTTATTATGGACTTGTTTACAATAATTATAAGTTATAGCCCTAAGAGTTACTATTATAATAATAGTTAAATACAAGCACGGATTTTGTTTTTTCAGGTCGTTATTGATACATTGTTTTTGTGTGTATGTGAAGATAAGAACATAAATGGCGAAATGTGGCACAAAAGTCCTATTATAAAGTTATCCAAGCCCAAAAAGAATATTGTAAAAAATGCCATAAACACATAAATAGATGTCCATGTTTATATTTTACATTTATTCTTTTTTTTTAAATTATTATTATTAGTAGTTTTATTTAATAGTATATTTTTTTAAAAATGATAAGTACTTATAAACTATAAGTATCCACAAACACATTTTTTATATTTGTAAACTAGTTGAAACGTTTTATGTGCAATTCTGTTTGTCCTATGGTTTTTATATTTTATTTTTTTAAATGTTTTATACACAAATAATATTAATACATGTAGTTTAAGACTACTATAATTTTTTATGGTAATTATTACTAATAAAATATATTTATATATGTACCTATTACAAAAACAAACTCTACGTGTTATTTGGGTGTATGTGAATTATTTCTGTACATCTGTTTTATCTCAAATTAATTATAATATCCTATGGTAGGATGACTGGAGCTTATTTGTTAGTTTTTGTCAATTTTGTGTATCTCATACAGATATGTTTTAAAATAGGTATTTAACAAATGTATGGATAGGTGCTTTCATTATTAAACTGTGTTTGCTAATATGGAAGCTAATTCATGGTGCTGAAAAACTTTGTATGTAAAGTTGGAACAAGGGACATGACATATATCAGCATTGCTTTCATTGAAGTTAAAAATTAAAATAATCATTTCAGAGTGGCCACTGATTAGTAGCGATGGGAATCCGAAAATCTGCCTCTCAGTAATGCCAACACTGACAATATGTGTGTACAATAAACGATTATTATTAATGGTGTTAGTTGTGCTGCCAGCATGACATATTATTAAGGAGTAAATAGTAATGATTCAACTCATTTGATCATATTAATTTTTTAATCATTAATTATTATACTTTATATATACTATATAAATGACGATTGTTAATAGCATATATCTGTGCTGTTACAAACATTTTAGGTATTTGACTTATAAATTAAAATATTTAGTCGGTAAATTTTCAACTTTTAATGTATTTTGCATTGATTTAATATGATTAACAAGGGAAATTTTAATTTCTCACCGAACTCATTCGAAAATCTAAAACAAAAACTAGTGCAAACTAATCACAAAAAAAAAATGGCTGAATGATAAAATCACTTTAAAAAAAAAACTAAGCACAGTCCGTACAACTTACATTGCATAGGTATCATAATGATATTTATTTGCATACAATAAATATTAGAGACAAAAAAATATTATCTTGTATAATTATGAAAATATATGTAATGGTCGTACACATCGACAAATCATTAGTAAATGTGCCGAAGAATTTGTCGCTACATTAGTTGGCATCCACCACAAAAACTATAAACTAGTCTGAAAAAAAAAAATTAAATCATTACAAGTAATCAGAATTGGGTAAAAACTTTTCGAATAATGTATAAGTCTCGAAAAATTGCTTGTTCGGTGAATGGAGAATAATTTTTATTTATGAGTAATGTTAAGTTAGATTAGGTTGGCTAAGTTAGATGAACACTTATAACTTATATACATATATTGTTTACAATATGAAAGAAATATTTACCACATTTATGAATACATCTAATGTAAGTACTCGGTGAATATTAAATCAAACAATATACTCGCATTAACACTTATACTCTCTAAAGATTTTTTTTCGTTTAGCCAATAAGTTTATTCCTCCTTTAAACCATAGGTAAAAGGTAAATTTAAAAACTAAATCCAAATTATTTTTTATAAAGATAATTTTCGAAAATGTCTGGACAAATGCATGTTTAATACTTGTCGAATAATAGTTGCTAAGATATTCAATACACAAACGAAATTGTTGAAGTATTTAAGTATTTCGTTTAAGTATAATACCGCGGTTGTACATTTAATTAGTATGTCGCTTAAGTTGTCTAGCATCGAGTCCTTGTCGTATACACGACCTGACACGACAAGCGAAAGCAAAGTAAGTATATTAGTATATTAGCCGTATCCTTAATATCCCATCATTGTCATCCCGTCCTAATATGATGCTGACTGCCATTTGTATAGAATATAAGTTTATGCATCTAGTTTTAATAAATCCCGACCGCACGTGTCCAAAAAAAAAATATATCCAACGTCTACCAACAGTTCATAGCCGAAGCTGCCTAGTCTTAAAAAAGAGAAAAATGTGCTTTAAAGTACATCGAACCTATACTTTTAACCTGCTTAGATATGTGACTATATTATAACAGCCGATTGTCGTTTATACTTTAAATAAATAAATAGTAAAATGTCTTCAAACACCACGGTTTGAACTACTCTTGATTGTTTTACATTATTTAATTTTTAAAAATTCAAGATAGCCATTTTCTTGAGAACAATTTGCCGGGAATTTTGCCTGGTCGATAACTTAATTCCTCTGTCGTGTCTAATTTGTCGTAACATCATCCCCATTAGGCTAAGCATGAATCATATTATACCATAAAACATGTTGATTCGTTTATTTTTTGGTTTATAGGAAACAACACTCAACATACCTGAATCGGGCTACTATGGATCATGTAATCAATCAGATAGGGCGGATGTGCTTTTCTTATCCTCGATAGTATTTTTCGTTACCGTAAGTACAGCAGTTACACTACCTCTAATCACATATTATAAATTATGTACTTCTAAAAAAACACATCAAAATTAATATAATTTTTATTAATAACTAGAAAATAGAAATCAAATTTAATTACAGAGTGTAAAACCTGATCTAACATAGTTATGCTAATCAATACCTTGGACTTGCAGATGGTTTCCTGTGATATTTGGATACCGTACGTGTTCGACCCAAGAGGCCTTTCACCGGAGTTTTTTACATTTTCGGATGTATTCACAACGTTGATTCTGTCAGTACCTTTTTCGAAATTGATCAACGATTTCGGTACAGCTATTATACAATATAAATAATAATAATAATAATATATTATTTAGTTGTATTTATAATCAATATATAGTGCGATATACTTAGGTATATCACTCACGCCACGGGCCTATTACACGGGCCTTGTAATAATAGTAATAATAGGGTAATTTCAATTTCAGGGTTTAAGTACACCCTACTGTTTATGTGCGCACTGTCGATTTCGGGAACAGCCATTCGGTGTTGGGCATTTGCGGAATGCTCATACATGTAAGCGTATTATATCTCAATTTAAGTAACATCTTAACATATTAGCTGATATACTTTAGACATGTTGTTGACCACATCAATCGCGTGCAAAATAACAGAGTTAATAACTAAATTAATTTTTGTAACTCCAAACAGCGCAGTGCACGTGTCCGCAATATTTTTATCGTCGGCCAAAGTCTTCATAAAACCACTCGCGGCTTCAATAACCGCGAAGTACTTCAAACGCAGATTTCCACACTTTACAATAGGTATTTTTTTTATTATTTACTCATTATATTATGTAATTTTAAACAGAATATTTATATTCTCAAATTAAAATAATATACGTAACAACATAATAATCGTACGGATAGATTTTGGAGGGAGGCATCGCTGAGGAGGATCATGGAGGGATCATGGAGGGATTATGGAGGTGCATTAATATAGAGATACTATCCGTATCATATCCATGTATCTGCACGTGTGGATACTCTTAACTTTATATATATATTTTTTTTTTTCTATACAAAAACACAGATGTACTATAATGATTGTGTAGCTTTAATAATATATGTTGCGATTATCATATTTCACAATGTAATATTACAAGTATAATGGTATAACCGGTGTGTTGGTTGATCGGATGTAGTTTTTCTATTATCAATGGCTATGATGGGCACGGCTGTCGGCTACGCGAGTAAACTGGTCGTACCACAAGCACTGGGTTATGATTTGGATGAACCGTATCAACCTGAGGAGTTTGTTATGTACGTTATGTATGCCTGTAAGTAACGCTATTTTAATCCTCTTATTTACATGGATTTTATTCCGACCCTTTTTAACACGCTTATATTAGCTTCACTTGTATGTTTGTATGTAACTAATAAAAGAGATAGGCAACCGAACGTACATGCGTGTATTCATTGTTGTTTACCTGAAGTTTTCAAGTAATAGAGACACGTATGTACTAGAATTAAAAAAAACACGATTTTAAAGCACATCGAACTAAAAAGTGGAAAAAAAAATATAGTTTAAAAACACGCTTAAATAGTAAAATAAACTAAAAAGTAGAAAATAATTTCAATATAGAAATCAATTAATAAAAAATAAATAGTATTATTGTGAAAAAGCGTCGCTACATATATCATGAAAAGCGCACACTTTTTCACATAATACTATTTATTTTTTATTAATTGATTTCTATATTGAAAATTATTTTCTACTTTTTAGTTTATTTTACTATTTAAGCGTTTTTTTTTTAGTTTTTTTATACTGTTAAAGGGCATATCACATTGGAAAAAAATTATCTGGATTAATGTGTGACGTACGGTGTAACCTTATTCTGACTTCAGATTATTTAATTCAAATCTAACGCTAACTTAACCTCACCACCCCAAGTAACCACTAGTTATGGATAACGTATTTTCCCAAATATTTTCCACACAATCTGGAATCATCCCTTGGAGCCTTTGATCTAGGATTTCTACGGTGTAAATCGAGCGAAGAAAATCAACCTCGCCTAAGAAAACTCTCAACCTTTCATAAAACTTATGAAAGGTTGAAAGTTGAATATCAGGCGCAAGTGCACAGTAGCGAGGCCATCAATCTATGTTTAGATGTATTTTTTTTTTTTAATTTTGTCTAAATTTTACAGGTCTAGCAATGAGTACTGTGTGCGCCGTTTCAGTGTTTGCTTGGTATCCTCGAGAACCCATTGTGGACGCGTCGTATGACTCGATAGTGCCGGATAAGTCCGTGGACTTTGTTGACGATTTTTTAGCGTATGATGCCTATTTTGCTGTCTGCACATTAATTTGGCGTACTGCGTCTTGATATTTATACTTGAATTATCATTTTTGTAGCAACAATAACCTGTGGGCATTGACTGGGTCGTACGTTTGCTCGTACGGTTTCTCATGGCTTTGGTTCCAAGCGTTCAAGTGGCCTTGGGCCACGTTCCAAAGAGTTCCCGATAAAGAATTTAAAGTAAACCTAATGCTCGCGACAGAATTTAACCACATCAATATAAGTATACTTAAAGTACAAGTAGTGCAATATTGCAGTCAGGAAAATTTGACAGTGCAGCACAGTAAACCAATATAGTAACAACATTTTAGGACCTAGTTAGAAATTATAGCCAAACGCGTCAATGTAAATTATTAACAATAGTAGAAGAACATATATAACCAGCAGTGTCCATAAATTCACATCGGACAGCGTTCAGTGGTGTCATTAAGGGAGAGGCAGGGTGGGCAATTGCCCTGCCCCCGCTCCCGCCTTAATGGCAAATTACTTTCTAATAAAATACAATTTTAAGCATATTATTGACTTTTCAGCCCTTTACTACCTATTTATATTTCTACGGTCTGAGATGGTTTGGGGGCATGTCATGAGGACAGAGGAATCGGAAAGCAGCAAGAATGGTATTAAAATAAACGTAGGAGGAAAGATGGTAAGGGAAAGAACGAAAAAGAGGCGATTGGATGCGATTAAGAATGATATGCATACTTACGTCGTACCGAAATTCGCTTCAAAGCTTTTAGCTGTTTAACTCTTTCGCTTCCAGGTGTGATAACCGACTTAACCTATCTGAGCTATATTTTAAATTTATAACATAGAGACGGTTTATCAATGGGCGGGACGTTTTCTAATTCGGTCGATGGCCATTCGAGTAATCGATTACAATAATAAACTGAAAAGTTTCGCATTAAAACTAAACACTTGTTGTTGTATTATATCATTCTGTTCCACAGGAGTTTAGAATCCAGTTTAATATATGGGTGTTGGTCCAGACGAGTTTGTTAGGGTTGTCATATGGATTTTCTGCGGACACGGTTTTCTCAAAGCACCGAAAATGTTTCGTCGCGGTGTTACAATTAATAGCAGTAGTGGTCACGTTGGGACTCTTTGCGTTCCAAACGCAAAATGAGTATTACGACTTAAGTAAGCACACACGTTACATTTGTGTGTATTTTGTGATAGTATAATGTATAATGGTTATTTTCTAAAACTTCTAGTACACTTGGTCATAATATTTTGGTGTATTGGAATATCATGGAGCACTCAAGGTGTGCTCCTAGAATACACGGTCAGCCTTCCGGCCACCCGAAGTCTGACCGTCGGGACGATGGAGATGGCAAATGCGTTTTGCCAGGCTTTGGTGTACGTGTTTTATTTTTTTAAACCACAACTTTGTAAGTACATCATTATTCGCACATGCTTATAGTGTTTAGAAGAAAGCCATAATATGTTATCAATTTGAGTATATTTTGTGTATTAGATTTGGACAATCAAACAGTGGCACTTATAATTGGCCAAGTATTAAGTTTGGTTTGTCTTATGACTTGGTCGTAGAGGAACGCAGTGAGACATATGCGGCGGAACTTAAACGTGATGTTTAACATTATTTTTGTAACCAATAAACAGTTTCGTTAATAAAAAATGCAGTTTGTAATAATCTTAATGATGTAGTCTTATTATTTAATAACAAATTAACACAAATAATGAACACATATTTTAATATTTTTTTGACACGGCCCGGTGTGTATGATTAAGAACAATATAGATGAGGTAGAGAGATAACATGTTTCCTCTGTTCTCTTCTTGTTTCTCCTCACTCTTTTTTTCATCTAAATATCTAAGCCTGAGATGCTTAGAAGTTCTTCTGTATATTTTCCTTATTCCATCCTTTGTGATATATTACGACCTAGGAGTACTTGCTTTCATAACCAGGGAACCACTCATTGTTCTTCAGGAACAATATTAATTGATTTACTTTAAATGTTTCACTGTTAACAATATGTTCAATATTGTTACAATGATACGTTGTCAGATAATGAATGGTAAATAAATGTATTATTACAGACTATGAGAACATATTGTCAACTACAGACAATCGAATGCTGGATTTTCTACATCTCTTAAAGCCAATTTTCATTAAAATCCAGACGTTTCTATGTTTTGTTCGCGATTGACAAGATGATATTAGTTCTCATAAATTATAATAATAAAAGTCCCTATCAAAATTATTTATATTCACCGATAATTCTCGAGGAGTTCGGCTTAGACATTTTTTGTAAAATTAAGTTTTAATAGCTCCCATTAAAGTGTATATTAATTAATTATAAGATCCTTTATTCTTTATTGTTACCTATTAGTGATAATATAAAAACATTTAAAAATATTAAGTACATTGTATATTAAATGTATATTTGATCTATTGTAATGCTATCTAAATCCTAATAAATACTTAAGCATCAATATTTTTTTACTATTTTGGAACAAAACACAAAAAATACAAATTTGTATAGTACTTCTGTACTGAATCCTTATCAGGCCGTTTGATTTTCTTTGTCGTGTTTGTTTTTTAAATAGCTCCCATATTTTATATTGCAAACAACTAACAAAAGTATATCAATTTTTTTTAGTTTTCTTTCGTGTGTATAAAACAAACTAAATAGATCGAATACAAATGTTTCGGCTATTTCTGAATTCAGCAAAGAACAAAAAAAAATGAGTGTTAGAGAATAATTTTCAAACATACACGCTGAAGATACCAAAAAAAAAAGGGTTTTTTTAGACAACTTTAGGGGCGATTTAAAAGTTAAAGTCGTGCTAGGAAAACTCTTGTGGTCAAATTCGGATGTACCGCAAAAAAATCCAAAAGTATAGATTTATTTTAGTTGGTTTAAAAAAAAAATAGGCTAGTTTTGTTGTATTGTGCAATTTGTTCAGTAGCCCGCGTTTTGAGGTATTTTAAACAGATGGCCAACTACCGCCAATCATGGAACAATGAAAATTTCATGGAACAAACCGGTCGCCACTTGGATCGTTGCGCTCATTGACGTTGTGGTGAGTTTTTTTTTTTTTGTTTTTATCAGTTTGTACGTCGCACCCGTTTCGCACAGTTGTTTGATTTACTGGCGTACCTATTTGCTTAATCGTATTATTCAAATATATACCTAGTGCTAGTAGGTAATAACAATAATATTAATAATAATTAGAGGTACTCGGTGAGTTTCGAAGGTAGTTTATCGTGTGGCGAATTCGCTTTTCGTGCGCGTTCTTCTGGTGTGTTTATTACAATAATATTACATCCGAGTGTTAATCGTGTTATTTGAAGAAAAAAAAATATCCGAACGGCGGTAGTGAGCTAGAAATTAGCACGTAGGTCGGTCGTGTGCAAATTCTACTAATCCAGTAGGCTGATAACGCCGCTAGTCAGATTCATGTACACCTGTTTGGTTTAATGTGGAAAAACAGCGGAAAATGAGCTGGGGAACGGAATTATGGGTTAGTATTGTTTTTATAGTTACCTAAAACTCTATTCGGTATTCCGTTTTAACAAAAAATATATATAAAAATAAACCTTCAACAGTAAAATAGAGTCGCATGTGTGTTACGTAATAATTCTATTTTATAAATTATAATATATTACCCACTTAAAAGTTTTTTTTATTAACAAACGGACCTACTTTACTGTGTTGATTTCGATTCCTACAACACAATGTTATCACTCGTATGTTCTACAAATAATAACAATATTACATATTAAGCATCACAATGCCCTTTTAGCCTTTAGGGACTCTATTGATTATGTTTTTGTCGCTTGATTAAAAGTTATACAGTTTGACAAACGTCCAAAGTCAAGTATTGATCTTACATTATTTGCGTAGGTAGGTAGATACTATATTTTATTATCACTTTGAAATTGGTATACTCATGTTTTTTCGTACTATTTTAAATTTGTTGACACAATTAGAGATAAATTAGATATTGTCAAATATTTACACATTAATCTTATTGAGACAAGTTTAATTTTTAAATCTTTGTAATGTACTCTGCGTCCAAACGATGATTTTAGCTGTTGGCCACTTTATCATTTATTGTTTAGCTAAATGTAAATTAGTTACACAGAATACGATAATGGCACTTAATGTATCTTATTAGTGCATAGTACTTTGTTCTAACTTCTAACACACATATTTTGTTCTATTTTCTAAATTTCTTATATTATTATACTACATACTTACTGAATAGTATAATCTAATTATAATCATTAAAGGTTTATGTAAAAAATAATAAGTAGTTGTCATTCATGATTATTTTGTATAATCAACATTTTCTCTTTCTCACATTACAAAACCACATTTTCACTGCATTAGTGAGATAAGTATTCACTCACAGAGATCAGTATTAATGAAACTAAATTATTAATTAAAATAATAACGTAATTCAAATAAAGGCCTTTGCGTATAATATCTTAATAATACAATTTACATAATTTTAAATTGGATTTATATAATGCATTAAACAAAAGTATTAAATTCTTGTTATTCTGAATTGTTAATTACAACAGCTCTATTTAAAATATTTGAATTAAAATATTTACCTATGTAAGTTAATATGTAAATAAGACATTATACCATTTATAATATGTTGTCTGTTTAAAATTGTTAAAAGGATTATATTATTTTCAGATAATATTGTTAATCAAATAAAGATTAGATAGCCGATTCTTGCTATCAGATAACCAACACTTTATAAATTATGTTTTGGAACATGTCATGGTCGTAGATAGAAAATATATTTTCCTCCTTCCTAATGCACAATATTGATTTAATCAATTATGAGTCAACATTTTAATTAGTGATTTTTCTCACTTTTTTTTAGAATAAAATACGTAAATATATATTTTTAGTGATCTTCATGCAAAGCAAATTGAATAAGTTCTAAGTTCTTGTCAACCTAATTTATTTTTAAACAAAAATTTTAAATTAAATCAAACGCATGCAAAATTGTAACCTTGAATGGTTTGGTTTGGTATCTTATTAGTACCCAGATGGTCGAGTATCTATACATGTCACTTTCTTTAAATAGGTATATATCTATTTAAAATTAACATTATTACAATTTTAAAATGTAGTTTAATATATTGTACAATGGTTTTAAGTCGAGAATGATAATGAACTCAGATTTTGGTTACAGAATGATATGGCATTAAATGCACATTACATTTTTTTACAAATTGCAAAAATTTGGACATTTTAATAAGTGTAACTTAAAAAACAATAATAAAACTTATATTTTTAATTATATTATGAAAAACTTAATTTTTTTTTAACAATTAGGTATTAATGTAATATCTTATTGTATTAGACATTATATAATTGTATTTAATAATATAAAATAAATAATCTTTTTAATAGTTTATTATATTTGTATATTTTTTAAACGTTTTATCTAAAAAAATGTAATAGTTACTATAATTTTCAAGTAAGGTGTTTATTTTATCTTAAAATAATACATAAAATCTACGAATAGTATTTTTACATTTTAAATCTTATGTTCATATCAACATTCTAACGTTTCTATGCTCCGTGTGAACAATTAACTAGTTAATGAATATTTACTCGTAATTACGTATAGAAACCATGACTTTAATGACAAGCAAAGTGTGATATTTTACTTATTTGTTTTATGTTGCTTTAATTTTTTTAAAAAACTATATAATATACTGCACACCTACAACTGTTGCTACAGTTCTGTACAAATATTGAACTTGTGTGGCTCATTTAACTGCAGTTCTTCAAAAAGGAAGTTTCTTAATAATGTATAGAATATTCAATATCCTTATTGTTTGGAACTACTATTTACTTAACTAAAATAATCTATTTTAAATAGTTAGTATCTACATACTTTTATAAGCTTTCGTTTGTAAAGGGCATAATTTAAATATTTAAAAAGTTTAATTTAAAGAATTTAAAATAATTGATTTTTCAATTTTATTTTAGTATGATACACCTCTGTGTATATTATTCCCTACAAATCCCATGTAATTCCAAAAAAAATTGACAATGTTGTGATCGTCAATGGGTAAAAAACTGCTATCGAGTACCTGTGTACTCAAGTACAAGTAAACCTAACCTAACTAGTTTTTCTCAAAAGTCTTCTTTCGGGTGAACTAGTTTTTGTAGTGACCAGAATATCTCAAAAACTTATCGTCTCTTTGTTTTAAAATCCTTTGATCGAGAACTACTTGTATATGTTTATAATCGATGTGAAATATTTGGATACAATAGGTCGTGTAGTTTTTGAGTCATCGTGATCACAAAAAAAAATGCATATACTACGTTCCAATTTGTTTGAGGAATCTTTCTCACAGAATGCTCATTTAAATGTGCGAATTATTAGAATCTTTGGCGGTATTTGAAAAAAAAAATGTATGTATAAGTGCTAAAGGAAACTGTGTGATTTTAGCTTTATTAATGCGCACATTAATCAAATGTTTATTATGGAAAAAATGGGTTTCCTATAGGTACATTACATTTATATTCCTGGTAAGGGCTCTAATGTTTAAATTTTATTATTTATGATACTTCATACATTTTTGATTAATTTACATTTTTTGACGTTTACCTTTTTTTTTTTTTTACTATTTGTCTCTAATAAATAATGTAATAAGTAATCATTACTATTGGGCATCTATGATTGTTCGTCAGATTAGTGTATGTTCAATGAATTGTTGCATTTCGCTATGCTCGTCCACACTTGAGCGCCGAGTGCTGTGCATTAGTGGGCAGTTTGAAATTGCATTTTGATAGTAATATAGTATACACACCGGAGGTTCTCGGTATTTTGTTTTGAAATATTATTCTCTCATTATCAATTTCTCAACGCGAACGGCTGTCATCCGACACGTGAACCTCTGTCGTTTTGTGGTCGATGGACAATGATCTTTTTCACGTGGGCCTAGCTTCCCGTTTCCTGTGCCAAGCGTGCGTTTTTTTTTTTTTTGTGTGTAGAGTTTTTATTTATATATAATATATATATTTTTTTTTTAAATAAAAAATTTCCGCCGCGGCCAGTTAAGGAAGGAATCGCTTTATCTCAATTCAAAAGTTAATAATTACACAGGTTAACAAAAATGATAGTAGGCCACGAGGTCTACGAAGGGAAACTCGCGGACAGTTTTGTGTTTATTTTTATATCCATCAGTAACAGAACCCCGTCAGTTTTGTATTGAAAATTTGCCGGGTCAATAAAAATGATGTGTGGTTTTTTTTCTCTCTAAAAATCGTAAAAACATTTGGAGTGTTCGAGTTGGACGAAGAACACGATGTTTGTATGTGTATAGTCGGTAGTTACATGTTATTAGTTCGTCTGCGCCTGCCGGGAGAAAGTAGAACAACAGGTTATTCCCGTACGAATCCTGTCTGAATTAATTGCGACTATATCGGCACCGCCCGTCTTCTACTACCCCCAAAGACCCATGTATCAACGACCGTGATGTGGTGTACCCGAGGCGAGTGGAAATTTGTATTTTATTCATTTTTTCTTTGCCCTGTCCTCTGCAATAACTGCATATGTAGCTTCAGAACGCTCATTTGTATGCCATCCGCCGGACACGTTCTCGTTGTATTAGGTACCTGTGTATTTTTTTTTACTTTGCACGCAGAATCCGGGGTCTCTGTACCACGTACTTAATAATATTTCCTCTTCCAGACTATAGTAGTTGTTGCATTGTATTTTTAGCAAGGACTGGTTGTCCTCGCTTTATCTCGAAACGATCGTCGTGTATCACACGTGTGTAGATTTCGTTATAAATATATCACGGTCTCGGATTCATTTAACCCCTTAAAGATTCAAAAGTGCTACTTTGAAGTTATTTTCGTCTAATTCTTAACGGCAGCGAAGCTAATTTAGACAAACCTATGAAACCATTCCAAGAGCGTCGATTACAATTAGTTATCTATCACAGATTTAATGACATATACCTAAAAATCAAATAAAAGTTTTTTTTATACATGTTGAACGCTAATTAATAGTGAGCTAATGAGGCTATGCGAACTTGAATTCGTTCTTTCTTTTCCTTTCCTGCACTCAAATCTCTTAAGATTCCAGTTCATACTCTTGGTTATTTTTGCCGCTCATCTCCAGTCATCGCATCAATATTTTATTTTTAAATCTAGGTAGTGTTTGGTTTAATCACTATGTTACTTGCATACAGAGCTATTGTTAAAACAAAAACAAAATTGAAATACGACTGAACACTTGATTTAGGATAACAATTCGGCTGGTATGAATGTGTTAAAGCTTTCATGGATTTAAATTTTATTAACTTTGTAATCTTCGAATGTCTTTGATTTGTTGCTGATGTTTCGGACTCGGCAATGAAAAACTCAAAGACAAATTAATTAGTCTGTTAGGTTTTTTTTTTTTGAAGACTGACAAAAGTGATGTTAATCAATATTTTCCAATGTCATCAATATTTATGTCGGTAACCAGTTATGAATAATTAGTTTTAAGTTAATTACATTCTTAAGCAAGGGTAAGTGGTTTAGTGTTTAGTGGGTGGAATGTAGATAAAAATTCTATTGTCATACCTACCTACTCCATTTGTCATCTCGCCTAAACTTTGAAAAACGTTGAAAAAAACTTGTGAAATATGAGGTATTCAATTTGTTTTTATTTGAAGTTCAAAATATTGTTAAACAACTACTATAAGTTGAAACTTTGATAAATAAAATTGGGTTACAGCTACTAGTGAACTTAAATCCATAATAATAATCAATAACATATCGTTGCCCTTCTTTTAAATGACCTAACGCGATTTTTAAGTGTAAATTTTATTATGACAGGCGATGGATATATTTAAAAAAAACACTTATCGGTGATAGTATAAGCTAAACAGTGTGAGCATCTGGCTTAAAATTGTTTATTCGTTAGCCATGTAGGTCGGTGCCAGACCACGACAACATGGCGTTATCGTCGTGTGACAAAATTCGTTAGAACTAGGTTGTAGGAAGGATGCGACAGTGTTAAGATTCCAAGTGCATGCTCCATCTCGGATCTCAGTCTTATCATTTGTATCAAAACGCGTTTTCTACGTGGAAAATATTATGGGATTATGTTTTTTATTGTGTACTTTAACCTAACTGGTTTTGCTTAAGTAGTTACATAACTACGAGTACACGACAGACAATGCGAAATATTTATGTATTTTATGTCAGGACAATTTTATTTGATAAGAGACTTGGATACACAGTCGGATGTATCTATCATAGAAAGTCGGAAGTACCGATGCGTTTTTATTGTAACAAACAGTGGTAGCGTTTGTAATTAATTATTATTAGTATTATTATTATTATATACTTTGACATTCTCATAGCTTAAAACCACTCTTGGCGCGGTTATAGCCATAGAAACATCTCACATAAGGTCAACGGCATTCGTTACTTTTACTTTGTCTCGTACAAACGATTGTATATGTGTATGTAAAAATAAAAACCTTTAGGTCATCCGTTATTAATTGTTGTGCTTTTAAACGTATTTATCGGTTACTCCTTCCATTATTTTTCTGACAAACCAACATATTAATGTACTCGGTTAAATATGTTGATTACAAATAATTAAGTATTTAAAATCAACATCGGTACACTGTCTCAGTATAAAGTCTCATTCTTTAAAACGAGTGGCCAGCAGTTGAAGAACTGCGAAAGATATGCCTTTTAGTCCTGAAGGGCACGTAACATTATTAATTTCCTCTTATATTCTATATAAATGTTTAAATGATTATTGTTTACTTATTTATTTATAACAATTATACTCACATGTTCACTATAAATATATTTCAAATTTCCATGTTTAGTGACTTAGTGGATGGTATAACCTCCAGTGGCGTATTTATGAGGGGGGGGGGGTCTCCACACCTTGACATTTTTTTTGTAGTTATGTTTTCCGTATTTCTTAATAAAATATTACTTTTAAGTATATCTGTTTTCTAACAATTCAAAGTAGGCCAAATGGGATCCATCCCCCATACCCCGGGGAGGGAGCTATAAATACGCCATTGATGAGTGATGACCACACTTACACTAAAATAATTATAATATATTTTTTTTTTTGCATAACTATTATTTATTAATATCTTTATTATTAGTATTATTATTATTGTAAAAAATCGTATGTATGTCCTCTAGTATTGAGAATTATGTTATGTCGTCCCTAGCAACTTATGAATATTAGGTAGCTCGCTTATTTTTTATTTTATACAAAGTTATGATAAATACAATTCAATATAATTAACCTGCATGCGGTTGTGTACGTTGCAAGAGTAGTAACAACAGTTACAATATTATTATTATTATTATTATTCGTCTTTGCGTCCAAATTAACCCGAACCCCTAATAAAACAAGAATCTTTCAAAATATAACCGGAATTATAAAAAGAGGCAAAAACCTGAAAACTAACCTGGTTGGTGTGTAGCAGTTGCCCTCGGCAGGTGTCCCTATGTCCATTTTCATAATATAACCGTTACTAATATGAACCTAAATTTTGGTTAATCAAAACCCAAAAAAATTTTAAAAACGAACAAAACCCTAATCGGTATAATTACATATAACTCTAACCATAATAAATAACTCGTCGTCAAAATCCTGTATGATATGAAATACTTAGTAACGTGTAGATGTAAAAATAAAAAAAAAAGTAAAAACCGGTTAATAACTGTAAAATCAGAATTTTTTTCTGGTACTTGTAACCTGAATATTTCAACCACCAGTTTGGAAACCCCAATAAACATAATTTAAAAACCCAAAACCCTAGAAAAAAAAGTAGGGTGCAAAGCCTTGTAATGTTTTCCAATAAATCTCTAAGCGTCGATGTGATTTTTTTTAACGTTTGTATGACAATGCAATCAGTCTTTTTGTTGCAGTTTAAGTCGACGATAATTTATATTTAATTACTTAAGAAGTAAATCGATTTATGCTCTACACAAAGTGGAGAAATGCTCTCACCTATAGTTATCAAAAAATACCTATTGTGTGTGTGATTTCCGATCGACGTGGCGAACATCGAGAAAGTTATATTCGACCGAGTAACTATTATAAATTATTAGTTATTCATTTGATTATTTTTATCATTGCGGTATGATGTTTCTTCCGCGTTAGGATGGGTTATTCTGACAATGGGTTTCTTCTAAGACCCCCTCTTTTTATACTTTTTGGGTGAAAGCGTAAATCCCATAGCAACGGCTATAAAGCAATCCACCGTGTCTTGTACAATACTAATAATATTTATAATATTTTAATTATAATCACTCGGTTTCGGTCGTTTGATAATAATTAATGTAATGAAAAAAAATCATCGTTTCTGGAACGGAAATAATATATGCCGAAATGCTTTCATCAATCTTTAATTCCCATTTTCACTTCCTGGCTTTGGCATTCACCTCTCTGGAATGTGTTTGTCCACAGTAGGATCCTCGCCATTCTGCGGCCGCCTCGAGGTCGAAATAATTGAAAAAAAATCCAGAATAGTCTTTCATTTGTTAACAGAACTATTTTTTTGTCTCATTTGACAGGCAGCCAAGTTAAAACAAACGTTTTTAACAGGCTATTAGCGTTATTTTTTTATTGTTATTATTAGGAATAAAGATTTGTATTCAATGCGCATTCTCGTCGCATTGGCCTTGATCTTGGATATTTATTTACGTACCATGTCTAATAACGGTATTTTTATTTGTGTTACAGGACCAGTACGATAATTTATCGTTTCACACTCAGAAAGGCATCGATTTCCTTGAGCGGTATGGCCACTTCATCCGGGACAGGTGTCTCATCGAAATGGAGTACGCCGGAAAGCTCAGGTAAGACGAGAACTGATACCATAACTGATGACGATATGGATAGGTCATGGCTATGTTAAATTATTTGAAGGGAAAGATATAGGTGGTAGTTGAGACCCTCTTCGGTATTGAATGAAATCTTAAATTCCTATAATTAGTTTTATTTTAATTATTTTTTTTTTAACTAAAAAAAGAAGAGTACTAGGATAAACTCTAAACACCGATAATCATGAATAGCTTTTTGATTTTTATATTCATTATCAACGATAGAGATACTGAGATTATGTGATAAAGGAAGTTTTTAACGGGTAATTATTGTTTTAAAACGGGGAGGATATAGCACGTGACAGGACGTTTCAATTTAACCTGGCCTTTATTTAAATAACTTTATAATATTGAATTTAACCAGTACACAATTATTTAAATAAAAGTTCAAATAATAAAGTAAAATAAATATTTATTTAATATAATATATTTAAATAACAAATTGTTTGAACTATTCGAATAAAATATGATCATAGATTAAATTGTTGAAATCCAGAAATGCAGATAAAATAGTGTTGGCGGTTGTTGCATTAGCGTTGGTAAACTTTAAACTTTAATCTTTGATATTATTAAATAAAAACTTATGAAAATAGTTTTTAAGTAATATAATATATTTTAAAATAATAATAAAATTCATTTGATACGGTAAAAAAATGTATTTCAAATAACTAATTATTTTAAAAGTATTGGTATTTATTTTATAAATAAATTATGCGCTGATATTTGATTGCAATAACATTCACATAACGGTATTCAAATAGGTAAACTGAAGCAAATGTCCTTGTTTTTTTTCTTATTGCCCAACTCTTTTTTATCAATGTAAATTCAATTTTAAATACCTACTTTTTTATGAAAAAAATACGGATGAACAACAACGGCTTCGTCCCTACTAGTTTTTTCTATCTCGTACCAATATGGTACAAGGGAATTATTATTTACACGGGTTATGCACTTGACCGCTGCTACCTAACCTAACCGCTGCTACGTCGCCTGTTATTCGTCGTCGTCGCTAGGCATTCCGTGGGCTGACTTTAAAAAAACATCCAACTGACCAACCGCACTCATAAGTTGTATTGGAGAATTATACATTTTGTTATTACTCTGGAATCCCGAGTAAAATGTATTTTGAAATCGTTCTCTGGTAGTTTTTTTTTTGTAAGTTTAATAACGCCCGTATTTTTGGGATTAAAATAGGTATTTTTTTTTTAAATGTAGTTGGTAATATATTTTTTTTTCTAACCATAACACGGTTTAGTTGTTTTCGTGGAATAACTTTTTTGTTAACTCCTCGAGGCCTTTTCTAAAGTGGCTTTGCTCATTGCCATTTAGCTCACGCGTGACGTAGCAGAAATTAGCTACGCACTTGAGAAAACATTCCTATGATGTTTCTTGATCTTATACAGTGTTTAGGTATATGTTGTGTATTAATCTGTCTATTTTTAGTATTACCGAGCACCTCCAACATTATATTAAGTAGAAACGCGTAGCGAATAGGGGGAAACTTGCCCTATCACAAAAGAGTGAGGGGAGGAGTATTTTTTAACGAACTCTAAATTCTATAAAATTTCTGGTAAAATAAAAATAGTTTCAAAAATGTGTGTTACAATTACTATAATTTCTAATTTGAAAAAATAGTAACTGGCGTTTCGCAACAAAGTAAATGCAGTCTGATCGTCTGCTGAAATGGTTAGAAACAATAGGCACATAACTCCGTTGAAGGTAAGGTCGTTACTGTTATTAACCATAATACTTTAACCATTCTAAAGATGTATTTATTTATAAATATTTGCTTAAACGACTTTGAAAAATGTACTTTTCTGCTCTGGCCGGATCGTTACACGAGTTATGAATAACAGTAACTACCCAGAGAAAGGATATAGTCGGTTTTTTTCATAATATCTGTCGTCATCGTTTTGTCCTCGTCTCAGTAAAACAACGTTACTGTACTGTCAACGCAATGAATAATCTTTATTCTTTATCTGTCATAACGGCAGTCGCGTCGTACCGCGATGTTTGAAATTTAAAGAAATACATCCAATTCAACCAATTCGCATTTTGACTACTTTATCCACTGCAATATGACTTGGTAAGCGTGCTTGGATCACAGGAGGGTCTACAAAATCACCCTTTATTTGTTGAATAGCTCGTCTTGGTTTGATTAACACTTACCCTAAACCTGATATGTTTAAATTTTTGTAAAATATTGCCTATGATAAATAGTCTTGATCGGTGTCCCAACTAAAACAACACTGTTCTTCAATTAATACCAACTTGATCACTGCTTAAAAATGTAAGGATAGGATCCTATTAAATAAATATTATGATAATATTGATGTATTCGCTGGAATTCGGTCAGATTCGTTTATATGTGTCCTACAAACAGAACAGTATACTAATACGAATCATACACACAAATCACATAACACTTCAAAGCGTGTGTCATCTTTTTCACGTATTTATACAAGTTGATTACAAGACCGCGTTTAAAATAACAATTTCGTTGAAAACATATTGCACGTGTGTAACCGCGCGGAGGAAAAAATTGTGCTCAAAAGGGCCTATAAAAAAAATGACTCACTCGCCAAGAATTATTATTCACACATTGGCCATTACCATAAATACGACGTTAGGTATTGTTGTATTATATATTTCCCATATTCATTGGACGTGTAACTAATATTACTTGTCGTTCGTGGTGTATATATGTACACATAATAATATAAATTATGTTATATAATTTCTTCGTGTCCTCAGTAGTAGAGCTCTGTGCATAACGTCACGTTATTTAGGTCGGATATACCAAGCATATTTTGATAACCATAAGAAGTGATGTTCGTGTTAAAAATTTAATTTGCCAAATGGAAAGAAGAACGCTTAACATACATATAATATAGTATATGCTATATATAACTGATGAGCTCTTAGCACGTTCGGGGTCTGTACATTTGCGCATTTCCCGCTGGCTAGACTAGAATGTTAGACGTGTATAAGTTGATTTAGCAGTCGGTCAATAAAGCCTGTTAATTTTACAATTGCACTTTTGTACCTTACCCAATCAGTAATGTACTTATACATTTACGGTTTGCTAATAAAACGGCCAATCTCTCTTAACACATTATCTTTCATTAGTGCCGGCAGTCCTAGTTCGAGTGGTTTACAAATCTTCGAACTGATATCTTGGTAACTAACGTGTTATTCTACATTTTTCCGGATACATTACTAGTGTGATAAACGCTTATTATTGCCGTTATCTTAGTAACAAGTGATTCGTATTAAAATTTTACAGCAGCACAAAATAATAATTGTATTTCCAATGTGTTTTTAAAGGTAATGTTCACTGAGAATTCTTTTCTAAATCTTCTCCAAAAATCAATGATAAATTATAAAACAAGTTCAGGCTGCAGTAGGTATCATTGACAATTAAATCATTTATGATCGAAATATTGCTATTGATAGTCTCTCGTTGGTCATTTTTTTAGTTTTCATCACTTCACTTAAGGGTTTTGTGACTAATCATAAATGATAACTAATTTATATATTATGTCGATGAGTCATAAGCGATTTATTTTTATCATTTTACAGTAACTACTTTTAAAAATATACAATGCTCTATAATTACATTTATACTTAATAGGCTTATCATAAAACATTTAAATCTTCGGCTTCTGATTTCAATGACTTGCATAAATATATATATATATATATATACACACACAAAGTTTTTCATTTACAAGTGCTAACAGTACTAACACATTTTTACGCTTCCCAGCAATTTAAATATGGACTATTTTATATACTTAAAAAAAACCTTTCCATTCTTTATCATATTATGCGCGGTTAACAGATTATGGTCAAAAAGTATGTACACTTTTAACATTTTTTAATAATTAACTAAGTCGTCGAAACATAGAAGTCTAATAGGTATCATTTATTTTTATTAAAAACTAGATTTTTCTAAAAAAACTACCTGTGTATGATGTATCATCGATATTATGCAGGTAATTGGTTTAAAGATGTGTGCGGAAGGGGTCTAACATTTTTTCTTTACTGGGCATCCGCGTGGACAGGAAAAAGGTTTTTAAAAAACTGCCTGCTATAGTATCATGTTAATTATTTTGTCGGTTGTTAAAATGTATTTCTCCCCCTGCATTTTTTCTTTTTTGTAATACTATTATCAAACTGATTTTGTAACATAATAATGCAGCTACGGTTTATTTCAATTTTTTTTTTATAACTCCGCCTGTGCATGTGACATTCCATCGTGTCTTGCGGCTTAAGGTGTGCGTTTTGTGTGCAGGTATTGTACGTATTGTCGATGGTGAATCTTCGTTGGAAAAAAAGTGTGTGTGTGTGTATAACAATATACTGCTCGTTATATACTATAACGGACACGCGAAAATTTTTCCCCCATCAGAGTTCTTCTTCCATATCCAATTTCTAGATTTTCTCGGTCATTGGGCATGACATTGTATTAGCAGGCTGTATTTTATTGACAGACGCTGTCATTGAACCTCTTGTGTGTGTATGAGTAAAGCAAAAAAATTCGGTTTATTATACAATATATATTATCCTACGCGGCGCTGCGGTGCGGTGCAATCGTTAATGTATACAAGTTAACGATAGTCCATACTGTTGAAAATCGATAGATTGTTAATTATGTAAATTATTAACAGCGTGTTTTTCTTTTACAGGCGATTGGTCAAAAATTATCAACCGAAAAAAAAAGACGAAGAAGAATACCAGTGAGTATACTCAGCGCTTATTACTACTATATTTAGTTTTATTACAATAATTAATATGTACATTTTAAATAAGCTGTTACATATAGCTTATTAGAAAGAAGCGAATATTGGCTGTATTTAAATGGTAAATTGTTGAGTTATTATTATGACGTTAATTGCTTTCAAAACGCTATGAGTAATATATAATGAATAGCAAATGAAATGATCTAATAGTGGAAAGAAATATGTTATTGCACTATAATTTGTTGAACGTAAATGACGTTTGGCGGTTCGATAACTTAAATAGTTATAAACATGGTTCTTCGAACAACAAACTAGACGAAAATGTGACTAAATTGGTTTTCGCCATCGAATCTTTTCTAAAAAAAAAAGAACACAAATCATATGGTTTTTATTCCGTATAGTCTAGTTTTTTTGCAGCAAATAAAACTGATGTTGGATTTGTGAAAATGCCTGGCTTATAATATTATGTGTCTCATATTTATATGTTGTTTATAAATAAAGTTTAAAGCCCAGCGGTTCAAAGGACATCGTGTCTTCAAAAAAGACATGATGTTTGCTAACTAAAGTTTAAATTTAAAGATACGGTTTGTTTCAATTAATTCAAACAACTTCTGGTTATTATTTATAAGACTAATCTTTGTTTAATTTAAAATGCTATCAATAGTATGGTAGTTTCCTAATTAGGTACACTTTTTTTAAATGCGTATCATCGGGATTAATTTATTTTCCCATCAGTTTTTTAAAGACAAACATTTTTCAATAAGAAGAATTAATATTTTATAGGAGCCGGTTTCCGACGTAGAGTGATAGGTTTGACTAAAACCTGTTAAATGTATTTGTATAAGAAAAAAAAAGTTTAAGGAATTGCAAGTGTTTATTTATTTATTTCTTACTAAGAATTTGATATTTCAAACAACCGAAAAATAGTTTACTATAAAATTATGTTGTGGTTGTTTTCAAAATAAAAATAATACCGTTATTTTTGTCGAGGTCAGAGAGCGGATGTTTAAATTGTATTTTTAAAATTTGAGTATTTATCGTTTAAATTAGGGCCTATTAATTACATTATAATCTTGATATTCCTATAGATGTACATATAATATGTTTGGAATATTTTGTATTAGCATTTTCTTAAAATGATTTTTTTTTATACAATTCGTGTTTGGTATTTGTAATTTAATGTCATTCCCTCACAAAATTTTTGGGTGATTTGCGCCTATGATTTCAAATCAATATAACTTTTGTAAAAAAAATATTTTAGTAATTAATTCTCAATTAAGCTTGAATTTTGCATAAATTCGCTCGCTAAAACATCAAAATACAAGAATTGTTTTGTAGTTAGAAAAGTCGACAAATTGCTCTACCGTTAGGAAATTTTTAACCATATTTGATTGTTGTGATTTATCCATTATGATTCGAGATCGGAATGTAATAATAGAAGTTGTGTGAACTGAAACCTATTATGTTAATATTGCAATTAATTACAATTTGAATAGGTGTTTTTCTTTTTAAATTTTTATCCCATTTTTTTTTATTGCAGCGTGTACTACGCCAACATACTTTTTTGTTTCTATATTTAATTTGATATAATTAAAACACTTTTTTGTTTAAGTGATTAAAAAAACTAGATGCAGGTCATGTGATATAAAATTTGAAACAAGTAAACGATAATATTATGTATGTGTGTTAGACTAGAAGTCGGAAATACTGGTTTAATATCACTACTGGGAGTCCTGACTCATTCATAATACGGTATTTAATATGGCTATCGTCGTTGCCCAAAGCAAGTTCAATATACTCTTTAAATGTCATATTCAACATACGACGACGGTGACGATCACTCAATTTAACTAAACGTCGACTTGTGCTCGTGTGTGTACTGCTTTCAATTGAAAGCAAGCAACCTACTATTCATCTTGGGATCTGTTTAAATAGAATAATACAAATATAGCTTATAAAACATGATAGCTGTTATAACGTTATTATTATAACTTCTTTCATTCACATTTTAAACGTTAGTTTTTTTTTTAATTTAGGTCGGGCAAATTTAATGGGAACAGACTACTACTGTCTCATGTAATTTTCTATGATTTGATTGGAAAAAAGTATAAATTTTTGCCACCGACTAAACGTTTAATAATTTCAATAATATTTATTGGTCTTTTGGTCATATTATATGATTTTACATGATTTCCCTGTGCTCTTTTCAATTTTGTTTTTGCATATAAATAAATGGCGACATTTTGTTGTACAATATTATCAATTAAGTCGATATCTTTATAATATTTTTTAAATATTTTACCAACAATATTTGACGCCAAAATATATTTTATTTTATATCTTATATTTATATTTTTTTTTATAGGATTAGTTCACGGAAACCTAATCTGGTCCGAGATTTTCTCTGGTGCGTCAATTTATTTTTTTAATTACTTACAAAGTCGCAAGCAACTTATATAAAAAAAAATTGAAATGTTCTAGTTTTGTTTCGTTTACAAAAAAAAAAAGCAAAACAATTATAATAAATTATTTCTGAGTTCATTAAAGAAAATAGAATAAGCAAAACCCATTTGAAATGAGTTTTATTACATTTCTCAATTTATGTAAAAATAACAAAAATCAGTTGTATACGATATCTGAGGCCAGATTCTGATTTAGCAAAATATATTTTTAAAAATTGATTTATTTTGGTTCTTGGTTCAATTAACAAAGTTAAATTTTGTTTTACGGACATTTCTTAATTTATTTTTAAACGATTTTTTTTTTAATAATACATTTTGATAACATTTTTACACTGGTACATTTTGAAACACATGTTCCTTCTACTTTGTATATGCGCTATATTTTATTTATTTATGTTATTATTATTAATGAGGTTCACTTAAATTTATTCAATAAGAATCCTGTTAATGTCAACTAACGGTTTAATTTGCTTAAGTAACCTGTCCAACATGATATTATTATGTACACAGTAAATCTATGAAACTATATTTATATTTTCATAGGTTTCATTTATAATGGTCAACGCCCTTCTTTCGCTCTGCTCATTTAGTCATAATCACTAACTTTCTTTAATCATTTTACTATTTCAATCGTTTATTTATGAAAGGTGCAACATTTTTGTGTCAAATTGGCAATTTTTATTTTATGGTAAAGTAAACAAAAATAGCGTTTGATAAAATGTATACTTTTAACTTGCAAATGACAGCATACTGTTCATTTTTCAATGGCATTTAATGACCATAAATTGCAACATTTATAGTAACACAATTTGTTTTTTTCAATGTTGGTTTTACTTTTGTGTTGTACACCATAGAAAGTATAAAAATTGATATTAAGTTACTGATATTATCGAAAACCATAATCATCTGTTGTTTTGTTGTTTGGATCGGTTCACGTTTTAGTTAAATAGAAAATAAACAGAGTTGATATTTTGCGTATAATGGATGGAGGGAGGGCGTGTATACACTATCGACTTTGAGAGTACCTTTGTACACTCGTTGATTCAATTAAACGGTCAGATTAATGAAAAAATTTTAAAAAAACTAGCCGGCTTATCAGACACAGTCGGTTCGTACAGCTGACTGTTTAGGTAGATTTCCATAGAAGTATTATTGGCATTGGTAATTCCGAACCGTATCGATAACGGTTGTATCAACTAACGCTATCATTTGAAAACCAATCGCTACAGTGTTGTTGTATATTATTTTATATTCAAAACATACATTCGAGTGTGTGTGTCCAGTTAATTCCTATGACGTTCTTGACCCCGAATCTCTGGTCTACTGACTTTACTACGCGGCTGTAATGAATGCATTTAGAAAAATACTCTATAATTAATATGATATAGCATAGGGTATTAAATACTTAATATTAATATACGTTTTTAAATGTAATAAAATTCCAATTTTAAAAACTTATACATGGGAAATGGTACGTTTTCAGTTTTACAGTAAAATATAAAGGCATTATTTATTTTTTTTAGTAAAATAGATCACTTATAAAAATTAATCTGCTTTGAACAAAATCGATATATTTGGTCCCCTTTTTCTCAATGAACTAATGCGTTATCGGTTTCTCGTCGATTTCAGACCCAATTTTGTGTACGTTACCTTTGAGTTTTTTAAAAGTTGTCTAGAATATTGGAATGTATTAAAAAAGTAAACCATGTTGCATTGTAAGAATATTTTAGACTACCTCTAGTTTTGATTTCACGTGGAATCCTAATAGTGTAATTTTTTGAAAATTTAGATGAAAAAACATTAATTCTGTCAACAAAAATCTAAACTAAAGGTTTCGGGATTATCGATTTAATTATTATACAACAACACAAAATCAATTTATGTAAAAATATTGCAACGCAACTAATTGAATTACGCATCAAAACATATAATCTATGCCGTATTATATTTTATTGGCCATAATACAATAATGAACAATTATTATTTTGGAAAAAAAATAGAGTTATAAAGAGTATAATTCTTTACATAATTGATTAACTCTTAATGAACATTTATGGGAGTCAGCATTTATCTTTATGATTAGTTATTAAAGAACGTTCGTTGTTATTAAAAATGCTGACCCTTTGTTTTTTTGTTATTTTAAACGAATAAATCTCTGGTATTACAACCCTTTGTAAGCAATGCTTGAGAGCAATTTTGAGATTTTGTTAAAGTGAATTTGAAATCCAACGTATTTTGTCATTTTTGGTTTTAAAAACTATATTGGGGAAGGTGTGGTTGGAAAAATTGTAAAACATACATTTCCATGTCTTTATTTATCACGTCCACTTCCTTGATCTTTCAAGATTGTGTACCATTTTCCTACTTTTGGCGTAATTCCCAAACATTCACATTTATGTCTAACCTCTAGTCACATCCATCTCATCCATCTCGGCCTGATCTTTTTAGCCGCTTCGAAAAGTATGTTGATATTTCTCGAATTTAAAGATGAACTTTTAAAATTTTTGACCCAATAAAGTCTCTTTCAGGTATAATTTCTCTTCTTCAGACTACGTTCACAAATCGGTTCAGCAGTTCAAGAGATATCGTGGTTTCAGACACAAAATTGAAAAATTAAAATCGCCTCATTATAAAAACAATACCTTTTCAGCTATGCATCGTAGATACATACCTAATTGTACTTATTATTTGAGTTTTTTCTTTCTTTTTTTTTTATATTTATAATAACTTGAAAAGATTTTCTCGAATGCTTTTTCTTACACATATACCGTCACTCCTGGGTCTCTTAGTCATCGCGTCCCACTTCGAGTGCAAGGGCCTAAATATGTAGGGGAATCTATAATTTTCTGCAGTTTTTCACGGTCAAAAGCTCCGGCGAAATGAGTCATACCGATGACGTAACTGTGGATTCCGGTAATCGATATAAACGTGCCAAAGGGAGAGGGCGGCTCCTTTCCTCTTGCACTGAGTGTGTGTGTGTATATGTACACACTGAGCAAACGTGATTCGAAGTCGTTCCCTTACTGGCACGACGAGGGTGTTAGTAAAGTGTATTATTAATGTTTAAGGAGAATCATTATTTATTTACAGAAGCCCGCTCGAAGGCAGTAAGATATTGTGTTTAGAGTAAACAATTTTTTCAAAAGAAAATAGGTTATGGCTCACAACTACAAGGGTCTTTGGTGTACAACCGCGTCCGACCTAACCTCTCGCCTTAATTTCGTTTCCGTATTTATTTACCTGTTAATATCGACGAACGGCAATTGTTTCTTATTCCGGAATGTGTTCAATGGTTTTACTAAGTAGATGTTTTTTATTTTTTTTTCGTCATGTCATCGTTATTGAAATATAATATTATTGTAATATATCGCGTGTACAGTATTAGTGCATCGTATATGCGTGCATTCGGTTGCACAATATTATGCGTTCGGATGTTTTCTCACGTTTTCTATGCAAGGCGAATAATGAAAGCCCCGATGGATTACAGGTGTTTCAGAGCACTGTCGCTTTTCTCTGGGTTTCACACGGCCGGTTTTGTTTACTTAAAGCCAAAAAAAAATTACAGTATCAGTGCAACAACAACTCTCTCCGCGGCGAACAAATTTAGAATATAATTTTATATTTATAACAGCTGTGCGTCGGTCACCGGCCCAAGATTATCGAAAGTAGCAGCATCAGCGGTAGCTTTTTATTATTTTATTTTGTACACATATCTGCTGTATCGAAACAATAATAATAATATAAGGTCATATTATTTTTGACTGTCATTGATTACCTATTGTTCCCTCTCCTCCTTCGACGTACGTCCAGTAACTCAATTGTTTTGGTTTTATTTTCATTTTTTTTTTTTTGTGCTTGAAATTTGACATCGCGTTTTTCTTCTATTCAACAGGTACAGCACGTGTAAAGCATTCAAGGCGATGTTGTGCGAAGTGAACGATTTGGCGGGACAGCACGAGGTGATCGCCGAAAATCTCCAATCCGACGTGATCCGAGAGATAAATTATCTGGCCAAGGACATCAAGGAAGAAAGAAAAAAGGTACGCCCGCATTTCCACAACCGTGTTAAAATCGTATCAATATCGTATAATAATAACGCGTATCGTATACAACGTATACTGTATATACTAAACACAAAAGACGGTCTATACATTAATTTTTCTTCCCCGCTTCTTTGCATTGTCTCCTGTAGCTGCTCCAGGACAGCGCCAAGTATGTGGCCATGATCAACAATCAAGTGGCGTCGTTGGAGAGGTCGCGGAAGAACTACGAAAAAGCGTTCAAAGAGGCCGAAAGAGCTTTAGACAATTTTCAGAGAGCCGACGCCGACCTGAACCTTTCTCGGGCCGAGGTCGAAAAACAAAGAATGAACATGGCGATAAAAAATCAACACTGCGAGGAGTCTAAAAACGAGTACGCCAACCAACTGCAGAAGACGAACGAGCTTCAAGTTAGTTTTATTGTTATTCATAGACCCAGTGTGATGTGAACCTTTTAGGCTGGAACACAGTGCAAGCAAAAAACTCGACTGCTGTCCTACATACCTACTAGCCCCACGTTCTATGGCCTTCGCATTATCTACTTTAGGCTCGAGGTTAAAAGAAACATAAATAATATGCGTACATTTTTGTATAAAAAACAAAACTTTGTCTATTTATAAATTTGAAAATTTTTAATAATTAAAAATAGTAGGATCCAAGGGTCTGTTTTTGAATTTCCCATGCCTGATACCTATCGTGTTTACCGCACACGTACACTCCCACACACATAAGCTGTCGTTGTATACACTATCGTTGCTATAGGAAAAAAAACATACACAGCGCAAAACTCAAACATAGGGTAGACCACAACAAAAACTTGATGCCGGGGTAGTTTATACTGTTGGTGGCGAACACAGCAGAGTACAAGAGTAATACGAGTCGGTATTCCCTTCGGTCTCCAGGGAATATAAGGGCGGGAGTAATCTTAAAGAGAGAAATAAATAAAACCGTATTGGCGGGGAAGGGGGGGTCTAACTGCGAAACGAGTAGGAAGTCCGTCAAAATTAAAACAAATGGAAAAAAAAACATAACAAGAAGAAGTCTTAGTTGTACAATAATAATATGTGGGCGGACATTTTTCATATTATTGTCCGTGCCATTGTCCTCGTTATAGCCACCTGGTAAAAAGAGCCCGGAGCCTTCGGCGTACTGGTTTATTATTATATAGCGACAAAAATCCTGTGCTATTTAAGGGAATTGTCGATTATTAATTACTTATAACAATTGCAGAGTCAACATTACAAAGCGCTAATGCCCGAAGTGTTCAGGCAGCTGCAAGAACTCGACGAAAAACGGATCCGCAATGTTCGACATTTTATGGCACATTCGGCAGACGTGGAACGCAATGTTTTCCCAATTATAAACAAGTGTTTAGACGGAATCATCAACGCGGCCTCTCACATCAACGAAAAACAAGTAAATATCCGGTGCATACGGTCAATAATTAAAATTTTATTTATAGCTTGTTTCCCCCCCCCACCCTCCTCCCAAATAAAAACCCCCCTCTTTACAATGGCACCACACCGTGACTCCGCTGTCGGAAATTAGAACCTAGCTGTTAAGATATATTAATATTTATAAACATAATCAAAAAATCTTTACAAGTTTCAAACGATTTTAACGATTCAACGCTCATTTTTACAGGACACAGTTCTGGTGATAGAAAGGTATAAATCTGGGTTTGAACCACCCGGAGATTTCCCGTTCGACGATCTGAGCCGCGGTGGCGAATCCACTCCACTTGTCATTTCGGGTGGGCACACGATGCTGTCGCCGGGCATTGGCGCCCACAGGGCGGATTCGATGACCGTCAAGGGCACCATGTCGGCGGGCAAACTGAAAAAACGCGTGGGCCTGTTTGCCATATTTAGCTCCAACAAGGTATGGATTGAACTAATTGAATATATATGTATATATTAATCACTTTCAATAAAAAAAAAAAAAAATGGGCTGTGGTCAATAATAATATTCTAACACGTTTTTTTTTTTTTACTCTATGTTCAAAAAAATATATATAAAAAATACGAAATCTAAATACACTTCTTGATATATCTCAACGCGTTTCTGTAAGTACACTGATAGATGAATAGGTCATTTCAAAAACGACATGAGTCACTGGTTTTTCAAAAATGAATTTTTGTCAAATTTTATAATCATATACGTAGTTACGTATTCTGTGTAAAAATTACATTTTTCAAATTCGTGACATTTGTCAGAAATATTTCATTTTATTTAAAAAAAATTTTACCAATTTGTGCAATAATTTAATAACATTCCAGTGTTTATTTATTTTATTCTATTTCTTGACCTAATTGCTATTCTCTGCAAAAACAACGCAAGTCAAAAATGTCTTATCTGAATTTAATGAATCATAGTCAAAGTTAGACTATTGAAAACTGTGGATTATGAACATCACAAATCCTATAAATAAATTGTCAAATAGGTGTAAACGCAAAATAAGTTGAATTTCTGGAGTTATGAAGTTTTTTGTGGCTAGTGTCGTTTTTGAAATGACCGATTCAATTGTAAATCCCTATTTCTCTGTGTTGTACTTGGCTTTCCGAAATTGTTGCATATTTTTTATTTGTTTTTTTTTTCTACACGATACTTGCACTAGAAATAATACATATTGTATGGTTATCACGTTAATGGCGACTTTATTAATCAGTTATAAACTTCGTTTTATTCGTCGTTTGATCTTATTTTTTTTTTTACAAGTATGTACTCGTGAAACCAGAAATGAAAAAAATAAATATATTTTTCAACTTTTTTTTCACAAAACCGTCTTGTCAATATTTCACAACGACATTTTGGGACTAAAAAACACAATCGTAGTATATGATGAATATACTTTATGGAGTGTCAAAATATGTTATTTATTATATTTTATTTATATTTATGTGTATTATACAACTAACTACGCTTTAATCACGCTTTGCATATATTTTACATGCACACGGAAGCTTATGGACGTATGCAGCTCAGTTAAGGTATATACATTTTTTTTATTCAAATTGTAATTCAAGTAATGTGTGTGTTTGTGTGTGAACTTTTTTATTTTTAATAGTTGACTTTCAAAAATAACATGTTCAAATAAAAAATCGAAAAGTTTTTGTTTTGGGTTTAATTAATATTAATTTAATGACCGGTTTTTGACATTATTTTTAAAACAGATGCCGAAATCGGTTGTTATACCGTTGTAAGTGTTTGTATTTGTATTGTGTACAAAATAATATATAATAAGTTAACACTTAACAAATGTAATTAACCCATGTGATAAGCCTGTGGTATTAATTTTTTAAAACGCTTGAAATAGGACATAGGTCAATAAAAAAATATTACAAACATAACTAAATAACATATTATTATGGTTATTGATTTTATTAGTATTTATTATTATTATAAGTACTGTTCTATGTTCAAAGAAATTATTAATTTTAAATTAAACTATTATAAATTTATCGATTTGGGCTAAAAGCATTTCATCGCTGTATAATGTACATATTATTGTTTTGGGCACTAAATAAGTATAATAAAAGGCCCTATTTTTTATAAATAACTTTTGGACTAAAAACTATTTTATTTGGTGTAAAAGCTTAATTCTGGGAAATTGTTATGCTTGGAAGAATACATGTGTATATAATGTATATATATATATATTTGTTTGCAATTATTCTTTTGTTGCATCACTAACATAATATAAAGAGTTACTGATAATCACCACACACAAAAATTTTGCTGATTACATAATTATGTACACACATTTTTTTTTATTATAACTATTTGACTATTATTAATGTATTCATATATAATTATAGAACAACCTTTCATCTTCTGGTGATAAGGACGACTATAGTGAACTTCCCCCGAATCAACGTCGAAAAAAAATTCTTCAAAGACTGGACGAAATACAAGCCAAGTTACATCAAGAAATAGCGGCCAAGTATGCACCACTTGTTGTAAAAAATTATGATAATATATTTTTTGATAATATGTATAAAATGTATGTACATTTACTTGTTTAGAGATGGCTTGATGAAAATGAAAGGGGTTTACGAATCGAACCCGGCTCTCGGAGACCCTATGTCTACCGAAGGACAACTGAGCGAGTGTTCTCAGCGAATCGATAAATTAAACGCGGACATGGCCAAGTATCAAGCGTTACTCCAAGAAGTCGAGTGTAACGGTGGCAGTCCGGCGGGCAGCCGTAAATGCGAATCGACAGAACAAAACGGAATTGGAAACGGTAGCACCAATAACCTTTCTAATAATCATAAGTAATATACTTTAAAAATAATTATAATTGTTTTTACTAAAACAATAATTATTCTAATGCAAGCCGTTCTACTTTTAGTAGATTGAATGTGTCTATACCGGACGGAAAGGCACCCTTGGGAGAAGACGAGTCGCTGAGTCGTTCGGCATCGGATTCTAGTGTTTCCACGCCGGCCGTAGGATTAAATAAGTGAGTCAACCTGGAGTTTTTTTTGCAAATTATTTTACTAAATAATATTAAAATTAATTACAACTTGTTGATTTAGTCGTTATTCGGGTGAAACTGTTAGTTTGGGTGCGTCTCGGCACTCTTTGATGAGCAACGAAGATCCACCTTATTATGATCTTCACGATTTACCGCCACTGGGTACCTGTACTGCTCTCTACGCATTCGAAGGTATAACGGCTACTGCCACATTGAGCTTATGACTTTATTACAAAGGTCTTTTTACAAGAACCTTATTAACTTTATAGGTCTCTTCTTGTTAGTTATTTATCTACATTTTGCATATATAATTATGAATGTATTATTAAACGTGTTCTACTTATTTTAGCTACGAGTGAGGGATCGATACCAATGTTTGATGGAGAGCAGTTACTCATTATCGAACAAGATCAAGGGGACGGCTGGACTCGAGTGAGGCGGCAACCTCCCAATGTGGAAGAAGGTTTTGTACCCACCTCCTACATTTCCATACACTCCAGCTGAACAAAGCTAAACTTTTCGGACACATGTAGCACCCTTTGACCTTAGAATTAGCCACTTACTGTATATACTAACTTTAATTGTTCCCTCCCCCCCCCCTTTAGCATATAAGTAGCTTTTTTAAGGTTGTGAAAAGTGCCAATTTTTAACAAAATTTATTTAAATTTAGTCCGAGCTCAAGTTATTTTTATGTAGGTTATTAATGTTATTAAATTATTATTTTATCTTCAAAATAATCAAATTTTTCTAGTGTGCAATTATTAAACAAGTGAGCGGCATATTCACCTTGAATTTCATCATCTTAAGTTTATCCATCTATGACCGCCACAAACACTCTCATATTTTTCCATCTTCGTTAAACGCATTGATAACTAGTTGGGGTTATAATAGAACCATAAAATATATTAATATTATTTCAACCTGAAAGTGTTTCCGTCCACCATTCTTTTTTTTTTTTTTTTATTATTATTATTATTATAATTTAGTTATTTAGAATTGATGATGTTTTTTTTATTTCATTGAAAACACTGTTCTGTTTTTGTTTATTTTTTTTTTGTTTTTTTAATAACTATACCTTTCTTCAATCTAAATAACAAATAACAATTTTCTTTAGATACAGAAATTACCATTTGTCAATTAAAAATAATAATCATTAGGTTGTATGTTCTGTTTTAAAGCAAATAACTAATGTTGGAACTTGATGAAAAGCCGGTTGTGTCTATTTTTATATATATGTATAATATATATTTATATAATATATACATTTAACATATACAAAGAAAATAACTATTACTATTTTTCTTATTACTATAATATAATTATTATTTCTTATTTATATGTTAACATTAAATATTACTAGATGTGAAAGTGCATATGCATATGCATTGTAATAGCAAAGAGTACGCTTAAAAGTTAAAATAAATAGCGAACAAAATTAACTGACTACCCTTTTATAAACAATATTTTATTTTTTGTTATTATATTATTATTATTTATTGTGCTTAATAATTAATGAGTTTTATTTTTTTATAATGTCTACTTTGACGGAGAATTGAATATTATTCATAGTTCTGTGTAATGAGAAGTTTCGAAAAAGTAAACATATACTTGTTTTATTCTATTATCTCAAGTTGCTAACGTTGATTTTATCATGCACTGATGAAATAAATAAAAACTAAAAAGCAATATAGAGAATAATAAAGTGTTATACTTTTGTTTTAAATTTATCATAAAATTAAATGTTTTGAAATATATAATTTAAATTACAAAGTAAAGATAGTCCTGAGCAATAACTTTTTTCTATTATTGTATTAAAAACTAATAATTCAATATTATATTTGCATCAGTCCTTTTCAAGAGATTCATTTATAATTTTCAAAATTTATATACGAATTGTAAACCAATTGTATATTATAGTTAATGCAAATTTAAATAATACGTACAAATATAATTCAATTAACTTTAATTATATTTAACTAAATAAATAATAATTATTATTCATTTAAAAAACAACAATTTTAATCATAAAATCAAATGCATGTTTGTTTAATAAAATATATTTCCATGAAAAATATAAACTCATTATAAATAAATTATTTCACAGAGAACTTACCTAAATAAAAATACATTATTTTTTTATTAAACAACGTATCTAAATTTCAAAAAGTTGATTACTGTACTCTAATAAAGAAGTATTAAAGTGTCAGTTTTTGTATTTTATTAAAGAAACCTACTCAACTGCCGACTTGAAAAAATTTGCCTGGTATGGGTAGAATTTGTAAAATGTATAGAAAGAGTACGAGGAGACACATAGAAATATATTGTTACATTTTAATTATGTAGTTTTCACAAAACAAATTTATTTTGCCATATATGACAATATTTATTATCATCGCCAAATTATTTAAATTACCACCTCCAAAACAAATGAAAATTGTGTAGTTGTTTTCGCTAGAAAAACATTACTCGTTTACATATGTATTTTGTACTCTTCTGTGTTCACATGTGAAATCCACGAAGGTTATTATAATAATACCGTGTTGTGTATAAACGTGTACCTATAGTTATAATATTATATAGGTATAGGTAGATTATATTATAATTGTTTGATCGGCTTTACGCGAACTTGCTTTGGTGTCTTGTAATTTATCTGAAACCCGTCGCGAAGAAGAAGTATTCGCGACAGGGAGTCTTTCAAGTTCTAACCTTGAGATTGACCTATACGTTGGCCGACTGCACGGTGGTAGGTATATGAGTAACCATTACCTTTGTGGTAACTGGTAAGTGGTCGCTGTTGAACTGACGAAAACCGGTCGTGCGTTTCGACTTTTGTTTTTTCATCGATTCGATGGCGATTTTTTATTTTTATTTGATCAAACCGGATGATTCATACAAATTCATACACTGATTAATAAAATAGTGTACTCAGAAGAACACATTTTTCAAAATGATTCGCGTTTCGATCAAGGATGGGCCCTATCGCGATAGTATCGGTTAAAATAATTGTGAGTACACTACGTTCAAAGATTAAGAAAATTTCAGCATACCTATGTGTGTACTTATCGATAAATGTAAATCTGCTGTGGCCTGTGAAAAGCAGATTAATCGTCGGGATTGTTTGCAGAGCCCTATGACGCATGTAAGGAAACATTTTTGGAATTCGCACGATTTGCAACGTTCCTGTCGCGTACTCGTTATTTATTACACCGATCGTTTGTCCGTTGCCGGTAGGTATTTAAATTTATTTATTCTTTTAATACAAAAACAAAATGTTATCGTGCATTGGGTATTCCTTTAGGTCACGTTTACCGGTGTAATAAAATATAATGCCTTATTACGACATACGATATAAAATTGCAGTATAAATTTCTTAAGAACTCCAGTCAACGGTAAACGGTATTATTTTTTTAATTGTAAAGACCGTCAGAAGAATTGTCCTCTTTTGGCAGTCAACGATTTAATATTAGTCATTGGTTAAAAAAAAAACCCATCAGTTACAAACGGATAAGCGGGTGGTTTTTATCATATTCCTTTAGGAGGTGGTTGTGTATATGGGAAACGGGTGGGCGGGTAAAACGACGGGAAATGGGCGTCGAAAAACGCGCAAAAAGTTTCGGCCGACCCTGCCAGGATTCGAACCTGGAATCTTCTGATCCGTAGTCAGACGCGTTATCCGTTGCGCCACAGGGCCTCGATGTGGAAACGTGGCAAAACGACACTATATAAACGCGGTTGCGCCGTTCACGGATACCAGGTAACAATAACCGATACCAATTTAGGTTAGGTTAGGTTACCGATACCGATACCGGATTAAACTGCGGCCGGGTATGCTGTGTCGTGTATTATGAGTTATGACGTAATGGTTATAATAGCAACACATAACAATAGATCCTGTAAAGTACATAATTAAAACGTCTACACTCTACAGTTAACAATGTTTACTATTCAATACTATGGTCATAAATCGCAAGGAGGTTATATATCAGAGTCGAGTGGCTCCGTGTCGTGTTACCGGAAAACTGCATTCATCAGCTCTTTTGCATATTATGTGTATTTTTCCATCACGTCACAATAGCTTATGTGAATCCGTAAGATATTTTACCGTAAGAAATAATACATTGATCAATATACCATTTTGAAATGTATTGTTTTTCGTATTTACTATGCTGAGATGTATGACGTTTAACTACCAAATATGCTGCTAAACGTACATACATAGTTTATTATTTTATTATTGATAATAAATTCTACTCAGACTTCGCTAAAACAAACGGCAATTCTATTTCTAATATTGTGCGCATCGCTATAAAATTATTAGAGATTTGTTCTGAATAAAAATCACCATATTATGATTGGACTGCTCGAATTGGAATCACATTAGCTGTTATTGGAAATTCCAATCATGTTGTATAATTCATTGTTGTTACTTCGATTAAGACGTATAATATATTTAATCCTTCTGCGGAAGGAAGAGTGTTATTATAGGTAGCTGTTCTTATACGTATACACCAATAGGGATTTTAAGGATTTGTTTAAGACACCGAATAGTTGTTAAATAAAAAAATAATAATTGGGAATTATTCCGATTTTGATCATATTTTTTAGATGTATCATATATGCCCTAGACTAGTATCATCTGATAAATTATTAACTTTTTTAAAATTCAAATTTGTTTTATAATTGGGTTTTTTATAGTGCATTGGCAAGGAAATGTTGTTCATTAGATTGAAAAATAGGATTTTTTTTTTATAAATACATCACAATGAATAAATCCTAATCAAAATATTTGTGTTTATCATTACCTGATATAAATGTTCAGAATATCGTTATATTATTTGTTTTACTTGTTTTTTTAAGTTTTGTTGGATCAGACTACGGAACAACTAGAATTCAAAATAAGGAAACATCAGTTAGAAAACCAAACACCGTGGCTGTAATCAAACAGGAGGTCGATGAAATCGATAATGATTGTTTTTTTGTATCTGAGATGGAAATTAAAGAAAACCAAGATTTAGCAGTTATCAAGGACAAACGTGTGCATCCTCATTTCACTTAGTAAGAATTGTATAAAAATGGAAAATCTTTCATTAAAGATTGACTACTATTAAGTTATTATCGTAATATTTGTATTACTATTCTTTTTAGCAATACACTCAACAGTACTATGAAATATAATCAAATTCAAACTAAAGAAAAACCAACCAGATCAATTAAAAAATGCATTATGACACACTCAGCAGAGAAACCTTTTCCGTGTGATATATGCAAGAAGACATTTTTACACTCTGGAAATCTTAATAAGCACATAGTGACACATACTGGCGAGAGTTCAGTTTCAGTCATGCCTAAATATGTTCGGAAATCTAAACACTTCACGTCATGAAATAATTAAAAACGTCTGGAGGAACCCGTTCTGTTTTTTAGTTAATATGTATTTTTTTGTTGACGTTTTGCGATATGTGTTATGCAGTTGATCAATAAAAAACTTTTAGTTACTTTTATTAAACTCTATTTTCATCATTTTATTTTTATGACTTCCGCTCTCCACAAATTGTTTTCCATGGCAATTTGTTTTATTTACTTTACATGCCACAGTTTTATTAATATCAACTTGTATACATTTTCCGAATTAATCGTATTTTAGTTATAAAGACAGGTCGATTATTTTAAAATAATGAATTTGCTTATCAACTTTAATAAAAACTAGAATTTATTAATTATTTAAAAATAAAGTACTAACAGTATGTATGATAATCTGATATCATCAGTTGGATCTTTTGTAAAATTTAATATTTTATGTTTTTGCAGGCAATTCACAGTTTTAATGTAAATGAAAATACGAATTTAATAATTTAGTTTCATACTAAATTATTTATTTATTCAACCATTATTGTTCGAAAAGAATACCTTACAAAGAATTCTAGTACAGAGCGTTTTTAGCTTGTTTATCATAATTTGTAGTAGAAATAAGTTTATGTTTCTTTAGCCAACTTTTACATATTAATTAGAATTCAAAGTTCAATACTTTATAATGAAGTCTTGCTTTACCTGGCAGGTACGAGTGTATTATAATAATCGTATATTAATATTAACGACGGTAATAATTATTTATTATACTCATTGCAGCAATAAATGTATTATTACCTTTAGGCATTTATTGCTATTATAGGTATATGGTATATGTAAAAAAAATAATTATTTATCCTGTACAAGTAGGTCACTTTAAATACTTGTAAACGATACATTATTATAATATTCCAGGTAAATGGATGGGTGTTGTGAAACAATTATAAACGGATAAACCCATTAAACTATACAATATAATAATAATTTCATTTTCTGTGCATCGCATTTTTTATTCCAATAATTCTGTCTTATAATTGGTCGAAATCTTGCGAGGACTTATGGTGTTGAACTTTGTTGGTTGAAAAACTCATTGCTGCTCGTCGAGCCTTGACGGCGAGCCGTCGCGGCACGCACCGCGCGATGCAGCTGCGGGTCTCTGCCGGTCCACGGTAAACGTTACTACCGCACTACACCTGGGTCGTTCGTCGTTATGGGCGACCCGACCGGCAACAACGCCCCCTCCTCGTTGGCCGGCGAACACAAAAAAAAAAACATTACCCGGTACGCGTGTAACTCCGGTAGTAGTGGTAGTGACTAGTGGCCGCCGTCCGGGTCTCTCTCTCCGTTGTCGTGTCGGCCGCGCGGCCGTCCATTACGAGAAACTCGTTAACCTCGCAGACTCGCTTCTTGCACGTCGACGATAATTATTACAATTACAATTACAATTATTACAATCCCGACTCGGGAGACGCGCGGCAAAACGGTAGCCGCCGCGGCCGGTCAATACAGACACGGTAGTAGTGGGCGCTATAATAATATGTCGGAGACATATATACAATATGATATTATTAAAATGTGCCCAACCCCCGTTTTGGGTTGTCCGGCGATTTCGATCTGACACGTTTTACCACGACCGACGGCAGATACCCGGACGGGGTCGGGGCAGCAATAAAATTTCGATTAAAAAAAAAAATTTGTCTTTTTTTTTTTAACTTGGACGCGACGCTGAGAAAGTGAAAAAAATTGTGTGTTTACCAACCGAATCCAACAACGCGTACGTGCCCCCCTCCCCCCCCCCCGTGGGGTTGGGGGCCAAAACAGTGTTACGGTAATACTCTGTTATCATGTCATGGTCGGGCAACGGGCACGATCCAAAACGAAATTCGCCAAACTACAATAACAATATTGTGCACGCGGTATTGTGAAACGCTTATGGTTGCAAAAACCGTTTTGTTAACCGAAACCGTGGAAAAAGTTTACGCACACAAATCGGGCCAACGGCAAACCGTACATATGATATTTTCTAGGGTGGGTTTTCCTCGACTGAAGGATTGCACTGACTGCATTACATTTTTTTTTTTTTTTCGGCGTGAACACTTACAACGGTTTTCAACCGTTGACCTAACCTAACTGTCTAAATCCTTAGACCTAGGTTCGTTATGATGTTTCTGCTATTGATTTCTGCTAACTTTCACACTACCGATTGTTGCTAATTAAAACTATGTGTAACCACCACCACCACCACCACAGGTATGCCCCAATGTGTAAGTACACCTACCCCTTAAATGGAATGGAATAAAATCGATTATTATTCGTGGCAATGTGGAAAGAGAGAAATGTTTAAACGAGGCAAAATGATTTGTATGGGAACCCGAGAAGTAGAATAACAATGACGGTGTACAAATTTCCCACGCATAAATTTAATGACCGTCCGTACCGCTTTTATACAACAGCCGGGGCGAGATGAAGGTAAAAAATAAATACCTGTGTGCGTGCATCGTTTGTGTACGTTCAGACATATTATTATTGTCTTATATTGTCCCCGCGAGAAGTTTTAATACGAGAAATTGTGTTTTTCCCAAACCGATCTGTAATGAAGTTAAGTAGCTTGCAAGTTTGACAGACTACCAAAGTTAACATTTCACGTTTCAACCGCCAACAATAATGTGTACCTTTCCTCAACTCGACCATAACCACCACCGCGTTGTTACACTTGTTTAACGAAGCACTAATGAAGTATGTATGTAGTAGGCATTCAAAGTCAACCCTGACCTGACTTAACAAATAACACGGATGCAAAAAGTAGTACTGTACAATTCGTGTCGGGTGGCGTTAAGTACTATGTGGTTGATCTACAAGTGTACTATGATAAAAATAGCAAAAACATAGCGAGGAAAGGTCGAATCCGGTTGGGTTGGGGTTCGGTTAGTTTGAGTTGGGTCAGTTCAGGGAGGATTGCAAAATACAATGTATCTTTCCTCCTAATGGTGGTTTTAATAGATGTTTATCCGTGTTTTGAAAATCTGAAACACACACAAACACTTTATATTCGTATAAAACGTTGTAAAATTGATTTTTTTTTTAATTTTTAAACACTGGCGTGTATTATTGTTACCCGTCCGGACTAACCACGACCTATTTGACATTTGCTTTACAATAATACCGCGTTCACGGTTAAATTTTCTGTCCTTTCACGTCACCAATAATGTTTAGTGCTAATGAAATTGGCTCAATAGACGCACAAGGTTAGATGATCCGTTTTATTGTAATAAAAAAATGTGTTCATTTTTTTCACCATTTTCCAGGAAGGAATCATTGTCTCGATTGTCAATGTAATTATTATTGTTGTTTAAGCGCAATATTGTGGCCGAATATTTTCATTTTGTATCCGGCAATGCAAGTCTTTATCAAAATAAAAAAAAAAGATAACTACTTGATATTTTTAAAGATATTAATGATTTATTACAAAGGAACGCTGTCTATGTTATCTTACATATCGAATACAATGTACGCGCTGCATCATAATAATTCGTACAAGGGGTTGTCTTTGACGCAGACTAATTATAATTAGTATGTTGTGTAATTGAAAGAAAGAAAGAAAAACCGACCAATAATTGGGCGGAGTACCCGGGACAGGTCTTGGTGGATTCCGAGACAATGAAACGGGCACGACCGCAGTTCGTGGAGCACGGACGACTTTGAGAACCCATTTGGACGGCACGCTAGCGCCCGGTCGGTCGACCGCGCCAGTCGACACACACCGTGGCACCTTGTATTACTCGGCGGCGGCTGTACTACGGCCGCCGCCGAGACGACACGCCGAGCGTGGAATGCGCGTGCATAATATGTAACCCCGGCCATTTCCAAGACGCGCACAACCGGTTTGGGTTTTTTCTCCTCGAATGTTATATTATTTATTATTATTATTGTCGCAGCGCCGACGACGTCCGTCCGCCTCCCCCCACATCCCCGCCACCGCCGCCGCCGCCGCGGCCGTCTCGTTCCGTTGGTTACGACGACGACGACGTCTTTACAGCGACGCGCGTGCAACGCGTACGGGACACGCACACGAGTAGCCACCGCCGTTGGCCGTTGCGCACGCGCAGAACCGTCGTCGGCGAATGCACACACCGCGCACCGACTCCATTGACCCGAGGTAGTGAGAACCCCCACTACCCCGCCCCACTACTGCCGCTGGCCGTGCGGACGCGACCGCCGCCGCGTTCGTGCCACACAGTTCATTCCACGAGAGACTGCCACGAACGGCGTACGTCCGCGTTGTTCCATGTATTTGTGCGTTCCGTCCGTACCCGCCGCCGCCGCCGCCGCCCGCGAGAGCCGTGCGTGTACAGTTAACCGCCATCGTTGCGCGCCGCTTCCCCTCCAAACGACAAATGACGCTCGCCGCTCATACGCCATCGGGGTAACATTGTTCCAAAACGCACATACCGATTTTCGTACTCGAGTGTAACCGTTTTTTATACGTTTTCTATTTTTTTTTTTTAAAATTCAATTTTACCGAACCTAGGTGATTTTTTTTGTGTCGCGCGTGTTTGTGTGTGGTGTGTGTTTGCCCGCGCCCCCGTCGTGGGTCCGAAGTCCATTGTGAGATAAAATCGAGACGAGCGTGTCGGCACCGCCATGTTTGACGTGTTCGGCTCCGTCAAGGGGCTGTTGAAGATCGACAACATATGCATAGACAACAACATATTCCGGTTGCACTACAAGGCGACCGTCATCATCCTGGTAGCGTTCTCGCTGCTGGTCACCTCCCGGCAGTACATCGGCGACCCCATCGACTGCATCGTCGACGACGTACCCCTGAACGTGATGGACACGTACTGTTGGATATACTCGACGTTCACCGTGCCCAACCGGGTGGCCGGCCGCATCGGCAAGGACGTCGTCCAGCCGGGCATAGCGTCGCATGTGGACGGCGAGGACGAGGTCAAGTACCACAAGTACTACCAGTGGGTGTGCTTCGTGTTGTTCTTCCAGGCCATGTTCTTCTACCTGCCGAGGTACATGTGGAAGACGTGGGAGGGCGGCCGGATCAAGATGTTGGTGCTGGACCTCAACTGTCCGATCATCAGCGAAGAGTGCAAGACTGATCGCAAGAAGCTGTTGATCGACTACTTCGCCACCAACCTGCACACGCAGAACTTCTACGCCATCCGCTTCTTCCTGTGCGAGTTCCTCAACTTTGTCAACGTCATCGCCCAGATATTCTTCATGGACTACTTCCTCGACGGCGAGTTCAGCACGTACGGCTCCGACGTGTTGCGCTTCACCGAGATGGAACCCGAAGACCGGGCAGACCCGATGGCCAGGGTGTTCCCGAAAGTTACCAAGTGCACATTCCACAAATACGGTCCGTCCGGATCGATCCAGAAATTAGACGGCCTCTGCGTGTTGCCGCTGAACATTGTCAACGAAAAGATCTACGTGTTCCTGTGGTTCTGGTTCTTGTTTGTCGCCGTACTCAGCGGCCTCAACTTGGTGTACCGCACTGCCGTCGTAGTCATGCCCAAGTTCCGATTGTTGCTGTTGAGAGCCCGATCGCGTCTGGCGCCCCAAGACGAGGTGGAGACCATCACCAAAAAATGCCAGATCGGCGACTGGTTCGTCCTATACCAGTTGGGCAAAAACATTGACCCGTTGATCTTTAAAGAACTCGTGTCGGACTTGGCCAAGAAATTGGACGGTAAGGAGAGCGTGTAAATGTGACTCGATGAAACAACAACCAATTGTATTTAAGTACTCAAATTTAAAAACCAACAAATTGTTAGCTTAGGAAAACACGGTTCAGAGAAAATGAATAAGCAATAATTTAGACAATTTTTTTTTTTTTTTTTATTTCAAAATATGTTATCTTACCCCTACGTCTCCTTTTTGGCACTATTTATTATTATATATATATAAATATATATATATTGATTTTTTTTCTCCCTGATTTAACTTCCGTTCTGGAGACTGTGGGTATTGTGCGGTTTAAACGGAAAAAGAAAATGTGTTCACGATTAACCTATCGCCGGATTTTTAAATTACTATTGACAGTTCGAAGCCTAATATTCCACGATTTATATGATTTTTTTTTTTTTTTATCATTATTATTATTATTATTATTAATTTATTATTATTATTTTTTTTTTTTTATTTAAACATTTAAAATGTACAAAAGAAAAAAAATCGTTGGTCTCATTTTTCTGTATATAAATGAAAAAGAAAAAAAAACAGATTACTGCTCAGCCATCTACTCCGTTCTAGGGAAGTGGCGTGTTAAGTCTTTATTTTGTTACATATACTATCGGATGGTGTTGAAATTTGACCATTTTTTTTTTTTTTTTTTTGGTAATTATATTAAGGCGCAGTGTGGTTTCTTCCCTAGAAACTACCCTCGAAATTAACCGATTAACCGTAATTTTGTACGCTACTTTTTCATATAATATATAATTTACTTTTTAAGTAGGTATGCTTACTTTTGTACATGTGAACGAAAACGGCTCTTTTTTTTAAATTTTTTTATTAAATTATTTAATCGGTATTGACAGTGTAAAGGGGGCCGCTGAGATGCATTCGAGCACAAACCCGTTGCCGATTATTTAATTTGCCACCGTTGTTTACGATTATACTTTAGAGCAGCTTTAGTATTAATATGAATTATTAATATTACTACTTTTTACAATTAAAATAATGTAGTTATGTTTTCCCGTGTCTTCCATTTCATGCAAACAATGTGTTCAGAAAAAAATAAACAATTATATCGTTAAAACATTCCACGCGTTATGGACTTAATAATAATAATAATGAATATTATAAGTATATTACGCTCGTCGAGATTAAGAAATTCCTAAATTAAATTAATCGTATAAAACCGAATTTCGCACAAACTAAGTACAATTTTTTTTTTTTTATAAAAATCTTGTTCTATTCTAAAACAATTTTGTGTATATATATTATATTATATACGTCATTAAAATAAAATAAATTAATTTTCGGGCCTTGTGAATGTAATTTATGAAATTAATTTCTGTAAACATAAACATGAAACATATATGTGATGCTAATTAGCTGTAATAATTATTAATTTTTAGATTTAGTTTTAATACTGATTTTTTTTTTTTTTTTTGTCTTAGGTATTTAAGATTATAATTATTATCAATTTATATATATATATAGATATATATATTATTATTTAAATATGTCATGTACACCTATATATTATGATGACGGTGACAAAGAAAATTCCATAAGTGCCTTTTTGTACTATATACATAATATATTATATTATATGTGTATGTATACAATTTATTATATTATTTTCTTGATGTACTCGCGCACATATCGACGAATTATTTTTTTTTATATATGTAAGCTCAAAATCATTTTATTCAACATTCCATTTTTTTATATACATACATACATACATATTAAGTAACTACGTCCACTCGGTGTACGACAACGGTGTCATGTGTGTGTGTGTGTGTGTGGTCTTAACAAGTGCACACGCGACATTGATGATAATAATAATATGTCAATTAAGCCCAAATTGACTGCCAATATAAGACTATTTATATTAGTAGAGAAATAAATAATATACTCTTGTTACGTTCGAGACAATAAAAATAAAAGATTTTTTTTTTTTTGTATATGCAAGTCTGGTGTTTTTTTTTTTTATTTCTTACGACAAACGAATCGCAAAGAATAGGTTTTTTGCGTACGGAGGAACATGTGTATCGTTACACAAAGTGGATGGTAAAAATATGTTTTCCTCTTACCTGAGGTATATATGTATTTTTTTAATATAAATTTTGTATATGTATTTACACCTAATAATAAAGTGAAAATCAACTGTTTGATATAATTTTTATTTTTATTTTTTTTTAACTTGTCTTCTTAGACAAGTATATAATATACAACCTATCGCAGTAGTTAGTAACAACTTTGACGATTGTTGTGTGTGTTTGTCGAAAATTAGTAAGCACAAGACATTGAAATGTCATCTCGGTGTGGTAACAGATAACATAATATGATGTGGTGTAAAAAAAAAAAAAGGTTTCAAAAATGTAAAGTGTGTTGGGTAAGTAGGTTGGCAGTTGACTAATAACTAAAGAATGTTGTCAGGTTGAACGGTATTATTTCTGATAGTACCTAGTGTTAGTCATCGTCGTCGGTGAAGGGGGAACTCGTTCATAATATAGCTGCAATTATTACATTTGACCTTAAACAATTTACACATGTAAATATTGCACCATTTTTGTATTGATTTTAATCGTTTTGATTTAAGTCTTTGGAAAAGAAAAAAAAAGCTCCGGTCACCATACGGACAACGATGGCTGAAAATGATTATATTTTGTAAGCGTCAACGATTGTGATCCCGTCAAAAAAACATGTGGGTAGGTTTGTATTTTTTTTTCAGAGTATACATAAAGCCAAAAGTACCATACAATTTGTCGGGTTTTTGTAATATTCTCCAAAGCGTTCAGAAAAAAAAAACTACTTCAAGCCTTTGTTTTAATGAAAGGCCAACGAACGGTAATTGACGACTAACAGCCGTGTAAACAAAACCGTGGGAATGAGTTATTTTTTATTGATTTAGTTTTAATATAAAATTGAAAAAAAAAATGCTGCAATTGCAATTAAACATTTTAATAGACGGTTTTCATTATAACCCTCGATAATTGTATTTGTAATTAGTACTAGGTATTTAAAAAAAAAAACAAGTTCATGTTGAATGAATGTGTGCTTTTTTAGGTAGTACCTAGATCAGTGATTTTAAAATCATAATCTGTAATCTAAGTAGTATGTTCTATTATTTTTTTTCAATTGTCGGTAAACAAAGATGTACTCTTTCCAAGTTTTTCCTTAAAAGTAAATGGTGTCCGATGTGCTTATACGGTTTTAAGGACTGTAAATTAAAAAAAAAACCAAGTTTAATATGGTTAAACTGTTTCGTGGGTCCAAACAAATAAAACTTATAATAATATACCATTACATTACTATTAAAAACAAAAATACATGTTTTTTATCGCCTAGAAGCCTATATTTTTATCGACATATATTTTCTATACTAGCGGTTTTATCGTTTTTAGTTAATTCTTTAATAATGGGCTATTTGCAAATTAATTAATTAATATACACATAAATAATTGACAAATGTGCTGGTTTTTTTTTTTGTTTAAATGTCATTAATTCAAATAGTGGTCTGTCGTATCTCTTTGTAACTTATTTAAAACCAAATGACTCTTGCGATTTTGTTTGTGAATTCAAGATGTGTAAAATTAATTAATTATAGTCATTGGTTTTTCTCCCCAGTCGGCGGTTGACCTAATAATTATTGTGAACGAGCCCAGAAAATGATATTTATATATTTTCATTGTTCGCTTTTCTCTCTTGGCCACACACACACACACGGAAGCTGACCAATACAAACGATCCATCCAGTGCGTTCATTTTTTGAGGGACACCGTCTTATTTGTTGTGGAAAAAAAAAAAACGTTGTTCCGGTCAATTCAATATAATAATGTTATAATAATATCATTACACTCTTACCTTCTCTCGGTTTCTTTCCTGTCGCTCGCAGTCAAGGTCCGTCCGCGTAGGACAGAGGTAACAATGATGTATAATTACACCTATATTATATTTATGTTATTATAATGCGCAATGCACTTTTGCCGTGTAAGATGGTCGGCCTTAAAATTCGTTCCAGTGAAGAAAACCGTCTACTACAAAAAAATCCATTCACCGTCGTCGATGTGATGTGTGTATTATATTTTTTCGGCCAATGTATGTATCCAAAAACCAAAACTGTTGCAGCTCAATCGCCTGAACCTTTTGTTTTTCACAAAACGGGTGAAAACACCATATTAGGTAGGTAGGTAGTAACACATCGGCTATTGCTGCTGGTCGTCACAGAAAGTCATCAAACTTGTGTACAGAGAAATATGGAGAGAGAGAGAGAGAGAGAGGACACTGTGATGCGCGGCTATCCTTTTTATGGAAACTACTATACAAGCCGTAGCCGTGTGGCGGAGACCCGTGCACATAATATGCGTAGGTAAGCTGCTTCTCTATCTCTCTCTCCTTCCTTTCTTTTCAAAGATGATTTTTTTTTCCAAACCGGTTCGGTTCTGTGTGTGTGTGTACCTATGCATGTTCCGTATGTATGTATGCACGCACGCACATATTATATTATTATATTATTATCTGCGGTAGAGAAGGACGAAATACACAATATATACTTATACCGAGCGAGGGAAAGAATGAGATACACGCATAATGAGAAGAATCCTGTCCAGACGAATGAACCTGCGCTGCGGTCTTGTGTGGGATATTTTCTTTTTGACTTCTTTATCGTTACAGTCGGTCTCTCCAAGTAAGACTTTGTGTGTCTTTGGAAATTCCTACGCGTTTTTTTTCACTGAAACGGACACGCTGAGACTGTGACGGCTTCATTTCGGGGCTGTTTGGTGTCTAATTTAATTTTTATACCCGAGACGTACACACGTTGTGGGTCCTTCCGCGGTTGTGCCTCTCGGTGCAACCCGAGATTTTTGTATATTTTGTTTGTTACAACGGCGGCATATGGTGTGCACACAGGTAGGAGGTGTAGTTGTTTTGGCCATGTGTTTCCCAGGGATACTTAGCACCGCGGGGTCACGTGCAGGTACACGCGGAATTGTGGGTCACGGTAAACGCTGACGACACAGATCACAGATATGCTCTGTCGAAATGAATCCTCCGGGGTAGAAGGATAAATCAGTGCCGAAAATATCACGAGGGATGGTTATTGATATTTGTGCATTTGCAGCAGAGTAGAGGGGGATTCTCAAAAACACCTTTAAAAACCCACACGGGAGGAGAGAAGCCTTGTCTGGAAGAAAGGATGGTCCGAGCCAATTCAAAACGTACCCCTCTTTTCTACTTTTTCGTTGTGGCAAGTTTAATGTTTAGCGACATTTTTTTACAGTTTAGATCATAACTCGAGATTTAAAAAACATTTTTAATTGATTTATATAAACCTTTGGTTTACTTAATAATTATTTTTTTTTAATGCTTTTTTTTAGGATTTAAACATTTTATTTTCGGCAAAACGGTCCTTGTCCGGAAGTAGACAATTATTTTGAAAAAAATTTAAAATAAAATAAAAGTACAGTATTTTTTTTCTTCTATTGCCTTTATTTAAGTCTGTAAAAATATCACAAAATTAGTTAATTTGTAATATTTGTTTTGTTTAATTTTTCTACATATATTTCATCATATTGTTGACAACAATTTTATGATGACTGGTTATCATAACTGTAGTTTGATAAGATTTTGGAGGGAAATTGTATCACAAAGTCACATTGTAATGAAGATGGGAAAGAGATAAATACATTTTACTAAAATTTAAATTATTTATAATTTTAATAGAACGTGTGGCACAAGATATTTCTAAATTAAATATTATTAAATATAATTTTTTTTAGTATAAATTGTTCAAAAAAAAGTCCATTTTGGAAAAAAATATTTAATTACCCATTACTATTACTATGGGAAAAGGAGCCGTTTTGGAATGTAATAATGTTAATCCAATCATCTTTTTCTTTGGGAAAAGAGCGTTTTGCATAAGAATTACTTCACTATTCGACTCCCGTACAGTTTACTATAAGAATCAACGTACAACTCAATTTTCATAGAAATGGAAAAAGTACGTTTTGGATTGAAGCCAACCTCTGTGATTTTCCGAATTAATGTGAGCTTTTTCGTCCCGTTCGCAGTGATAATACAACGAAAAAAAAAAATAACCGTATACACACAGTACTATTGTCACTCGGGTATAATAAACCTATCACGCCACCGGTCTATGCTATGATTATTATTATTATCGGGACGAGCCGACTGGAACGAAAAACGCGTTGGTGGAAGCCGTTGCCGGCGGATGTCAAAACCGGTCGTCCATTCATGAACACATTTGAGCCGAGACAAGTAGAAAATGTGTGTCTTGCACTGTATACATTGTGCTTTGCTGAACAATTAAAATTCGATTTTTTTTTTTCTACATTATTATCACATCTCGTGTTCGAACCGTCTGGGCACAGGCACATGATGTATAATTGTCCGTTTATACCTAATACGATGGTGTGCCGCAATACCGTATCAGCGCACCGTTTGCACATTGACCGTCACACGCGGGCAACTGATACGCCTACACACACATAGAATTCCACAAAACACTATGGCACAGTGTATAATATGCCTACGCCGGAGTTTTTGTCAAAACAAGATAGGAGGATGATGATCTATCTTCCACGCCAATCCCCCGTGTGTCTGATGACCAGCATTTCGTTCGGTTCTTTTTCGGCGAGTGTTGTATCCGAAGATCAACCCTATTCATCTTGAAACCGCAGTCGAGTGGTTTCAAGTTTTAACTGTACACATGTCCCAAAGCCGTGGGACTATTTAAAAACCAAAAAAAAAGTAGGTACAGCTGCGTGTAGCGATGTAAAAAATGATCAGTATGATTATCTCGCCGGCTATGTGATGTGTGTATAATTTGTAATAATTATTAAATGCATATTATAACGTTGTAACTATCTGCATTTAAGTGTTATTATTATTATTTTTTTTTTTTTGCTCGAAGATTGGATTATTGAATCTTCGAGAAACCCGATAACGGAATTAAATGCAATTAAAATATTATAAAAATAATAACAATTTACAATTCGTCATCGCTAATGGGAATTTGTTGCGCGTTAAAGTATGTACGCACCACGCACACTCATTGGAAGTCTCTGTTCTCTGTAGGTTTTATCATATTAATAATATTATACTTGTATAATGTGATTTGCCGGAGCTCAAGAATCCTATTGTTTAAGTGGTGTA